AACTGTCAGAGCTAACGCTACTGGATGCCATGAGTTGGAGAAATAATCAATTCCTTTATTGCACATTTGGACAAAATCATGTCAGAAATACTTCTCCACTTAAAAAGATTTACTCCGCGAATCTTTGTAAATTCTATGCAGATCTTCTCTACTTTATAGAAGAACACAGTATTTATGGCGGAGACGCTGAATAACAATTTTCTGTAATGGAGGGGAAGGTCCGTATGTCTTTTAATGGAAGTGTAATTGAGATTCTTATGACATAAACGGGAAAAAATTACGGTTATTTAAAAACCAAATCACTTTTATTATTCCTATTATAACAAATACCAATGGAAAAATATTTTGATTCATTTTGTGAATCACGAAATGCCTCTGTATGGCACAATGCAAAGAGGCAAAGTAGTGGTTGCTTAGGTTATGTAACTGGGAGACAACTGAGGTATTAACAAGACAGACATTGTAAATATTAAAAAAATATATATAGAAATCTGTTGACAGGAAATATTGTAACGATAAAAGTTATATCTTGGCCCATAAAATGAGACAATAGTGCTGGCAGTCAAAAATGTTTGACATAAGACAAAAGGACTTTTGCGTGAGTTATAATGGTGAAACAAAATTGATATAGGTAGTGGAAACAAACTTATAAATAAATCAAAGGATCACTTCATTATAAATAGGGATCTGACCTATAGGACCGGGCTTGGTTTTATTCTCTACAAAAAGCTTGTCGATTTCCGTTCTGATTAATGACATTAGGCTGAATACATATAACAATTTGTTTTTCCTAAATTTTTATTTCAGTGAGTAGAGATAGGGGGTACCTTTTTTATTGATTTTCTGAGTTTGTTATCTCCAAATGTAATAATTGATATTTGTCTTTACTTCTCATTGTGCATAAAGGTCATGTCTGCTGTCTCTGAAGTTCTATTCTTTATGTCTAGGCTATTTATCCGTGGATATAATAAAAACTTGTCATTAATGTGTGCAAATTATAAAGGCCTAAATGAAATCTAAGGGACTTCATTTCCTAAAATATGTAGCCAAAATTAATGTGATTAAATACAAAGGAATATAAACAATTGAAATTCATCGCAGCTCAATGCTGCCAAGAAAACCCGCATTGAGTTATTCTTGTCCTCGGAGAAAGTGTGCTAATACTGAGGTTCGTTCCACCTGACTGACAACTGTACATTGGATTGTTACGATTTCATATCTCTTTAGTGTTTCTTATATCAAGAACGGGCATGCATAAGGGATAGAAAATTGAAGGAAAAAATACACAAGTCTATAAAATAATTAAAATAGTCTATGAAAAGGCGAAATTTAAAACTTTATAAGTGTTGTACCAGGTGGATTCGAACCCCGACTTCAAAAAGAGTGTATCCTAGGCATAATAGTCAGCGCATATATCAACTGAGCTAGTCTGACTATAAGAATATATGGCATAAATTTAAAGCAGATTATGAAAATTTGGTTTCCTTATTTTTTGTAGGTTTTTTGTGAATTTCGACCCCAGGGCAGGGGTGCCCCTAAAAAAATCTTACCTTAAATTATTCCTTACATCCTAACCTATCAAAATATCACAATTTTATTTAGGGGCAGGCCTGCCCTGAAGGACTTCAAGGCCAAAATTCATGCAAAAATCAACGCTTTAAAGGACAAAATGGTGTTTCGATCAACTTTGGAGGTTTATTGTAAAGTTGTAAATAATAAATTTTAGGTATAAAATACAAATTTAGAAAATTTAGACATATATACGGTATAAAACAACAAATAAAGATTGATTTTTAAATGTCACTTTTTCCGGGAAATTGTTCTCTCCTATAGGTCAATTCTTTTGTTAAAGCGAATACATCCTTTATTACATATATATGCCACGCCAAATTCACAAAAATGAGCTAAACATAGTTTCACAGTTGATAAACTAGGTTTATCAACTGTAAACTATAGTTTACAAACCGTGAACTATAGTTAACAATTCGATTACTATAGTTTTCATCTGTAAAAGTATATTTAACGGTTGTTAACTATAATTTACGAATGCTAATCTAAGTTTGTCTGTAATAAAACGTTATCAATAGATTTTGTTGATAAACATAGATTCACGTCTGTAAACTATAATTTACAATCGTGAACTATAGTTAAGAGTTGTAAATCATAGTTTCACAAATCGTGAAACTATATTTATCAGATCGTTAACTATAGTTAAGAGTTGTAAACCATAGTTTACAAATCACGAAACTGTATTTATCAGATAATCTATGTTCTGCAATCGCAAATGATTGTTTCGAGTGTTAAGTATAGTTTACGGTTCTGAAACATAGATTATCGCGTTAACTATGGTTTACAGATGTAAACTATAGTTTACAACTGATAAACCTTGTTTATCGACTGTGAAACTATGTTTAGCTCATTTTTGTGAATTTGGCGTGCCATTCATATATGTTATCCTTTACTATGTGTATCTTGTTATCTTGAGAATTTTATCAGAATTTATAGCAATAATATTTGACTTACGCGAACATCTATTCAAAGATCTGTAGATAACATTAAACGCTACATCTTACTTTAAGCATAACTACGACTAAATAAGTTTAAAGATTTTCAATTCTTCTATATCATTATATACACATGTCATAAACACAGATGCATGGATTGTTATATATTTATTTGGACTTTCGTTGTTAGAAAAGATACATACATTGAGTTATTAAGAAATCGTAGACGTTTTGTTATATTGTATTGTCCCTAAAAACCTGTACTTATTTTTATCACTTTGAAGAACATTATTGAGAATCTTTCGGAATATTCGGTCTATCTGATCAATAAATAGAGTTTATTGAGTTTGTAACCGGTTGATAGGGGATGCTTACTCCTACTAGACTAATCCCCTATAGAACTTCCTATCCACCGTGTTTTAATGTTTGAGAAGTTTTAAATTTTATTAATTTTTAAGAACTCTTTGCAAAACAATATTCATAAACTTCGAAAAATATTTTATTAATGGAAAAGAATATTTTAGAGTATAATGCATACAAGAATAAAAAGTAATTATATGGTTTATTAAAGCTACCCTTGTGACGACCAACTTGTCATTATAATTAAGTCCGGTACAAAATCAAATACCTAAAGTGTAGATATTTGCTGTAAAATTTGTAAATTGAATAAGTTGAATTAATTCACTGATAAATTGTATTTGCTGACAAAACCATTGCATCGACCATAGAAATTAATTACGAAATGATGACTTTAAACGAGGCTGCTGGTATTTTTGTTTCATCGACCTTTTTGTCAATAATTTACCTCTTTTTAGAAAATGTTCATACGTTGAGCATGCTCTTGCGTATCGAATCCACTGAGATATGTACACTCCGTATGCAGGTGATGAGGGTATATTGCTGCATAAATAAGGGAAGTTGACGATAAAAAAGTTAAAGTCATCATATTTATCATAGAGCTTGGTTGTTAAATTACCATTAACGTCATTTTAAAGTAAGATATCTAAGTATGAAACAGATTTGTCAAACTCTGTGGTATCTTTTATCTCAAGCTCTCTAGGATATATCGTATCGACAAAGGAATGAAAATTACCATTGTAAATTTACAATACGTAGTCGATATATCTTTATGTTGAGTTGAAGGCCACAGCAAGTGTTTCATCTTTTCACGCAAAAGATTTTGCACAAATTCTGCTTCATATGAATACAAAAAAGTCTGCTAATAATGGAGCGCAATTGGTACCCATTGGAATTCCAATATATTGTCAATATATTGTCGGAAGACCTGGTCTCCAAAAACCACATAGATATTGTCAATCAGAATTACAAATGACCAATGACCAGGTAAGTAAATTTACCAGTTCCATTTTTATTGAAAAAGCAGCTGTCAATGATGTCAAAAAGCCTGGACTTCAATTTATCGTGGGGAATGGTTGTGTATAAAGTTGATTTTGGAAAAATTTTGTGATTTCAAATTGTCCAAAAGTTCTTTGAAATTTTTGAGTATCCACATCTGATTTACACAGCTTCTTGAATATATTGTTGCACAGTACTCTAGAAGTTTTTTCTTTACTACTGTTAATATGTTAGTGAGGAGTAAAGAAAGTGGCTTGGTTGAACAATTACTGGAACCCGCAATGTATCTTTGTTTGTAAGGATTTTTATGAAGTTTCGGAATTCAATGGAAAAGAATAAAACCATGAGTGGATACTGTTCAATTATATGAAGTGTTATATTTCTTTTGCTTTTATTTTTCAAAATTTGATGAATCATTCAAAAAGCTAAAGTATTATATTTCCTAGTCGACCTTGGACAAAGGGCAATTGCAGAGGGACGAGCGGGGGATCCAGCGAGGGTGTATATAGAATTGCAGATAGCACGAGAACGTGTTAATTGTAACGGCATAGGGTTTTACAGATGTAAGATTACCTGGAGGGAATCGGGAGACACGAAATCTACATCCTCTTCATCTGTGTTTATACAGTTCATAGGTTAGCAGATTTTGTCATTTCTACATGTCTGCTGAAAAAAATCGTATATTACTGGCTGTTGCACATCATTGAGAATGCCTATCATTTTTTTTTTTAAATCAGATTTGGAATTTAATCTTTACATATGAAACCTTGTAAATACATGCATATGTATATTTATTTTATGGCATTTGAACAGATGATGATCAAAATATGTACATGCTTTTTGCTAATACAGTTCCACCATTATCTTCGACTCCATCTTTTACTCTCAGCCCGTCCAACACTCGTAACACATCCTCTTTAAGCCCTACCTACATCAAAGGAAGCACCGTGTTAATGAAATCTACAGCTACAGTTGGTAAACAGAATTCATTACGATTATATACAAACTAAAGTTAAAAGTTCATTACATTCTTAATTACTAAAATGCTGTTTAAAAGTCTAGTTTAAACATAAGAGACAATAGTAAGAAAATTAGCCTTATGTAGATGTAATATTCAAAACAATTTTCAACAACTAATCCTGCCCAGCCAATGCGATTCTGTCTGAAAACATCTAGTGGCTATCAACTAATGGACCTTGAGGCAAATGTCACCGTGCCTTCTTCTGAAAGTCGTGCTAATTCCTGTGTGATGTCTAGAACCATCATTGCTTCAATACAGGTGCTTGATGCAGGACAAGTTTACTGCGATGTTTACAATGCTACTGCAAGCTCAACCTGCAATACACATTTAGTGTCTGAAGACAAAGTGTTTTCTGTACAAGATTTTCCAGGTATAAATTACAAAAATGGATTCTCTTTTTACAAGTTTTATATTTTGTTACTTCCTCTTCACATGACACCTGTGCGTTCTTTTTTAAAAACTTTGTCCAGTTGAATTATTAACATTATACCTTTATAACAGTATAGCATAATTATCTTTTTGTCGTACGAAATTCCTAGAGGCAGAAAAATTAGGCTTACATGTACATTTTTCAAGTGTTAGAACTTTTCTTCTCTTTACTGTTTGTTCTTCTAAATACCGTATAAATAGAGTTATCATCGCTACACAATCATGTCTTCATACACAAAATCAATCCATGGTCTACCCGAGATACGTTTCCTTTTTTAATCTATGTTCAGTGTGCAATGAGAGTACTACTACAACCTTACGTTTGTCAACAAAGCAAACTTCTGCAGTCACACAGAGTCCGGAAGTGACGACAAATGGTGTCATCATCCAAGCAAATCAGGATGCTCTTGTGCATTCTGATTTGGGAGGTGAGTGTTCGTTTAAAAAAAATCTGCTGGAAATAAAAGAAATTGCACATTGTTTTACAGATCATATTCCAAGAAAATTCCTTTCTTGTTGAAGCAAAGTAAATACATCTATAAAATCTTTATTTTTTCATTCGATAGTAAAACAGACGTTTATGCTTTTTGTTGGTTGGTTGGTTTGTTTGATTGTTTTTTGAGGACGGGGGGGGGGGGGGGTCTTTCTTAGTTTACAATAATACTTCCAAATGATGATTGAAAATTTTATAAACAGCAAATTTTCAGCTAAATTTTAATGCTTCAATTTCTTTTGTGATCATTAATTACATACATTACTTTTGATTGAATAAAGATTAGATACAACAATGTATTGTAAATGATACAATTCAGTAATTTTCATTCATGACAAATGAATTCAGATAATAGTCTCAGTTTCTTGGTAGTGTGTTGATTATTTCATCTTTATCGGCAAGACTCACGATACTGGTCCTTGATTTTAATATAGAGTGTTTTGCGATTTCAAAACACCAAAACCATCAATAACATATGGTATAATTTTGAATTTCGAAAATTGTAACACTTTAATGTAATAGTTCTGTGTTAATAACTGTGCAATCTCTAAACTGTTAAAATTATGACTCTCAGTTTTATTTTTTAAAACTTTCTATATCCAAAAGTGTCACACTCGTTGGTTCCTGTTTTGCTTACCGTAGATAAAAACATCATGCGTCACAGCTCCGGTACTTGGTTTTGTGTTGTTACTGATCCTAAGAAATCTCAATCCTGGGATAAATTGGTTGTGAGTTGATCAATTTGTCTTATTCAAGTGTCACATTTTCATTTCTTGACATTGTGTTGATCACTGCGTTTTTTCTCTGAATTGTCACACTTCTTATGTATGGTTGTATGTTGATTACTGACAGGTGAATGTATCCTCAAGTGTCACACATCTGGTGTATGGTTGTATGTTGATTACTGACAGGTGAATGTATCCTCAAGTGTCACACATCTGATGTATGTTGATTACAGACAGGTGAATGTATCCTCAAGTGTCACATACCTGGTGTATGGTTGTATGTTGATTACAGACAGGTGAATGTATCCTCAAGTGTCAAACACCTAGTGTATGGTTGTATGTTGATTACTGACAGGTGAATGTATCCTCAAGTGTCACACTTCTAGTCGTTGGCTTTGAGTTGATAACTGACGCAATCCTCAAACTTTGGATGGAAACATCCCTCACTTTTTACATTGTATCCTCATACGTTCTTTATTAGATATTTATTGTTTTAGTCAGATAAGAAAATTTATTACTCGATACTGTGTTTGAATCCTGATTCAGGTATTACACTTCTGACACTTGGTGGTGTGTTGATTTTCCTGGCCGCAACGTTATTCTTCACAAGTGTTATATTCTTTATAAGGGCCAAAAGGATAAGGAAAGGTAGGTTGTCCAATCTTCTACATTGTTTCTTGTAGTACAAGACAGCAGATATGATAAAAATTGTATGTTTTTCTTTCCCTTATTTTTACAGAGACAGAAATGGTATCAATAAGGTAATTTGAAGTTTCATCAGAGATGTTAATAGAGTATTATTTACTTGTAGGAACACTTATGATAAAGTTACTTTCAATGCAGTATCTGCAGCTACTTACTCTTCTCTTGGTAAGTATGAGAGAGAGAGATGAGAGAAAATTTTATTTTCAAGCTTTAAATGTTAAATTAAAGTTGCATTAAAACAGAAACGTTAGAAAGTAAAAATGGTTAAAAGTTAAAAAGATTTTTTGTGATTAGAATTCTCAACTTTGATCAGGCAATAAAAAGAATCTAATTACATATATTTTTATTTTTATAATCTCAAATTTTGTCAATTATCTCAGGTTTAACTTATATTTAAAATACTAAAATAACAATTAAATTCCCATTGTTAGAGGGTATTCTGAAATTTTCAAATTCTGTTCTGTGATCTTTTTTTTTTTTGATTTCAGATAATTTAACAACTACTTATCACCGTTCTTTAGAAAAGCAAGACAGTGATGGCTATGTGGAGCCTGGGCCTTTTACAGAACGAAATATAAGGGCATTTTAAACCCATTTTTATGAAAATAAACTAAACAACAGATACATTGAATAATATATACAACATCCTTGACAGCTCGTGCCTACGTATATATCTTTAAAAAAAACAGTACAAGCTTTCACGAGATTGTCAACAGACATGTATGTGTTTTTGGACCCATTTTACCCTGATTAGACTTCTCTGGCCCAAAACAATGATTTAAATGGCAGAGAGTTGGGAGAGGGACAACCTATGAAATATGTATTTATCAATGTTGCTAATAACACGTATTCGTGTTTATTTATATCTGTAATCTATTGGCTGTAATGCTGGTCACCTTGTCAGGTGACATTTAAATATTCATTGCACGGGTTTTAACGGACCGCTGTTAGCACAGAATATTCTAAAACCATTCGAAGGCTCTTTTCAGTGCAGATAACTGAATCCCCATCCACTCGCCCTTGCTTTACATGTTTTAAAAGATTTTATGTTGAAAAATCTTGTTTTGTTTTGTAGAAAGGAAGACAAAGAAGAATTGTATTTGTAACGATTTTGTATAATAAGTAAACTGCACTACCAGAGCGCTTCACATCCTAATATACGTGTTTGTGTTTATTTTATAAATTATTTATGTTCGTTTGAGTGGCACGAATAAGAACATAAATAATATTTTTTTTAATTCAAACAAGAGAATTCTATTTCTTAAAAAGGGTGGACTTTTCTCGAACCTTTTTGTTCACTTTTCCAAAAGCTGAAGTCTGCTAGTATTTGACCTTTAATTACAGCTGTCTTAATTTATAAACAAATAGGTTCAATTCAATTAAAGATGGGGTTTCTTGAATTTTGTCTATATTCATTTCTTCTGAGATTGGTACAATTGATATTAAGATAAGTAAAAAAAATTAAAATATCTTCACAAAGGATTTGAAGATTTTGTATAAATAATTCATATTAAGTTCCATTCAATTGGACCTATCTTTAATTCTTATTAATAACTCTTCTTCATTTCAGTTATACCTACATGTATCTTCAATTCAATTGTACCTATGAATAACCCTAACTCTAACCCTAACCCTAACCTTTGCAGCCTAACCCTAATTCTAAAAATAAAAGTATAGGTATTATTGAAATAAACCTATCTTCAATTCAATTGGAGATAAGAATAATTGGTTTGAAGACAGGTAACAGTAAAATGATTGTATAACTATATATATCTAAGAAAAAAAATTAAAAATACGTATAATTACACCTAGCATCAATTCAATAGTGCATGTACATGTACCTATCTCTTAATTAATGCAAATTTGAAATACTTAAAAATTGGTATTTGTACCAATCTTTAATTCATTTGTATCTTTAAATTGATATTACACATTTCCAAATGAACTGAAGATATGAATGATCGAAGTAAACCTATCTTCAATCTATGAAGAGATATATAAGTTTATATAAGTTAAGACATGTACATATATTTGAAGGTAGGTCCAATTATTTGAATTTATATTTTATTAAATTAGCGATCCACAGAAGAATTAAACAAATATATATACTATTCAGTCTTCACTGGTACTCCGTATAATCCTGTCGACATGAATATGAAGAATGATTTTATAACATCAACAATACTTGTTAATGACAAAACAGACTAAGTCGTACATTGTAATAAGAAAGTTGATTCATGCCTCATTTGTACGTAATACTTACTCTTATCCGGCCACTCACTGGTCAATCTGTAACCCCGGTATCCTGAATGATGTTACCCTCACTATTTATTTTGTTATAAATCACATTTTTGTGTTAAAATGTTGGAAGTTTTCTTACTTATTCTTCTTATTGTACCAGGTAAATTTTATTTGAATTTCAAGATATCTTATAAGAGCTCTAAGCATTTTACCAGAACGGTAGGAATTATACTGTTATCTTTTTGAAGCAAAAAAAAAAAATCAATTTTTTCAATAAGAACGATTTATTACCCTGTTTAGTTTGTCAAGACACATAATATGATATGTATAGAAACGTATCTTGGTGAATTCCTTGCTGTTAATTATTTATTAGATGTAAAATTATTGACATGTTGGTTAACAATGTCCTGTTTACAAACTATGAGTGATAACACAGTATCTGATTTAGAAAAGACAGAAGAGTGCGTTAAATTTGAAGATATTTATATATAAACAGATTCAAATTATGCAATGAAATATTAAAATTATATGGCAATATGTTTAGAATACAATTTAAAATGTGTTATACCAATCTTCAAAAAATATGACAGGAAAGTCACAAACACCCCTGGAAGCTCAAATCGGAGCACCAACGACAATAGATATACAAAATGAACTCAGCGTCAAATGTGCACCATCAGGAAGTTTTGACTTTATCAGCAAGATTGAAATACAGCGCAAGAATGCGACAGCCTCGACATACAGCACAATACTGGTGGTGGAGGATCCACCCCGGGGAAGCGCACCTGTCTTCAGAGATGGTAATATGAAAAAGAAATACATTCTTTCAAACATAAGTATATGTAACTCTCGTTTCAAATCGAATTTAAGCTATAAATTCACCATACAATGTTCTTCCCATTACTAATCTATTTTCAGCATTAATGTACAGAAGATTATGCTTTACATGCAGTTATGTCAGTATATAATGTTCATTATTTACTTGGAAAATACCGTACCTTTCTACTGATTCCAGATGAGGTAAGAGAGAGAGCGAGTGCACAGGGTCGGGCAGGGCGACCTTCAGATGCGTTCCTAACGCTTACCATCCCTCAAGGTCGGGTCAACTGTAACGATGGCGGATCATATCAGTGCCAGATAGTAAACGGGGACAATGGATCGACAACAATCACATCTATAGCTGTCACTGTCACCATACAGGGTAAGACAGAAATGTATTCAATGTTCTCTAACCGGTCCGTTAATAACCCTTGTTGCACTGCCATCTGTAAAGAGAAAAAGTGTTCAAATCAAATCAATTTTCAGAAAAAGTTCATTAGAAAAATAATTTTCTGTTAATTTTTTTTTCTTCCAGTCAGTCCAGACGCCTCCCGTCCTGTGCTTAGTCTCAGCCCCTCCAACTTCCCAGGGGCAGGGGTGTCAGTGTATACGTACTTAAAGGGAACTACCATCATGTTAGTCTGTCATGCCGATGTTGGTAAGCAGGTCGTGGCAGGTTATGGTTTCATGATTTAACATTTTTAGTATTATACATTGTCTCGAATGAGTTTTAAACAGCGACACACAAGATCTATTTCTCAACAAAGGAATTTTGATCTATCAATTTATACATGTATATCTACAAGAGAAAAGACAATTATACGACTTAAAAATTGTGTACAAGAAATATTTTTAAAAACGATGAGCTAGCAGAATCGTTTGATTGTCCTTAATAGGCAGCCCACCACAACCAATGAGATTCTGCTACCAGCCTACTGGAGTGAGTACCTTTACACCTGTAACAAACGTGGTGTCCAATATTGTCGCCCCGCAGTCAGTGGAGCCTGCCAAGAGCTGTCTGTTGACCCGGACCATTGTCGCCTCCGCCGAGATAACCGCACTCGCTGGCTCGTTCTACTGCGAGGTCCATGCTGCTGGTACCAGTCAGGGATGTGGAACCAATCTGAAGGTCACGGACGCCATGTTTACCGCTCAAAATCTTCCCGGTATTTTATTTATAATCATTTGAACCGTGCAGTAATCATAAACCTTTTTGAAAAGCATATTTTTCTTAAACCTTGTCTTCTTTCAAACGAGGCATATCAAATAAAGATTTATAAAATCTGAGGCAAACGTAGAAATCTAAGCTAAAGGTAAATAAAAGTAATTTTGAATGATTTTATACTCAATTTACTTACTTATTATACGTATTTCAATCAAATGCGCGTACGTGAAGTGCATGAACTTCAAGATAACTAAAAACTACATGTTGCCTTTGAAATTTCATATTAAAATGTTTACCGACTTCTTAAATTAGAATACACAGTGAGAGATGTGTATATCAGAGTTAATTAATTCAAACTTTTATTCCAGTATGCAATTCGAGCACTGTTACATGTAGCAGCTCTAGCACCACCTCAACAACAACCACCACCACTAGCACCACCTCATCAACCTCTAGCACCACCTCAACAACAACGGAGGCTTCTATTGAGGGTGACGTACAAGTTCTGGCAGTTACCGACAATGGAGGTTCGTTTTAATTTAATTAACTCTAGGCAATAATAGTTTTGATATTTAAAAGCATTAAGTTAAGCTTTGTTACTTTTGATGGCAAGTGTAAAACGAAAAACCGCTGAAGTTATGAGACTATAACTTTTACAAAATCAGATGCATATACTAAATGAATTTTCATTTGTGAATACCCTGCCTTTCCAAAACTTTGACTTACATTACAAAATCCCTGTCTCGTCCAAAGGGTAAGACACAAATTAAAATAGAATGGCAATCTTAAATGGCTACCTTAAAATTATTTTTCACCATTTTGTAAATGAAAATATAATCAAAATTTTATTAAAGGATTATAATTTTGTGTGTGATTTTTAAAAATAGAAAAAATTAATATTTACCTCCTTGTTGACGAATTGCCATTAAAATTTTAGAAGATGAACAAACTAAAGGCTGTGTTAGTTACAAACAAATCAATTTGTTTACTTGTATTTCATTTGGTTTCCTTTTGTATAGGGCATTCCCTCCTGCTGCAGTTGGATAATGTTTTGTTTTGGTTATGGTGGGGTAAACCCTCTTGCTGCTGTTGGATAATGTTTTGTTTTCGATTTTGAAGGATATATATACCCTCTTGCTGCAGTTAGATAATGTTTTGTTTTCGTTTTGAAAGAGTATACCCTCTTGCTGCAGTTGGTTAATGTTTTGTTTTCATTTTGGTAGGGTATACTCTCTTGCTGCAGTTGGATAATATTTTGTTTTGTTAGGAAAACCCTCTTACTGCCGTAGGATAATGTTTCGTTTTCATTTTGCAGTTGGATAGTGTTTTATTTTCGTTTTGGAATGGTATACCCTCTTGCTGCAGTTGGATAATGTTTTGTTTTCGTTTTTGAATGGTACACCCTCTTGCTGCAGTTGGATAATGTTTTGTTTTCAATTTGGTAGGGTATACCCTCTTGCTGCAGATGGATAATGTTTTGTTTTCGTTTTGAAAGAGTAAACCCTCTTGCTGCAATTGGTACATGTTTTGTTTTCATTTTGGTAGGGTAAATCCTCTTGCTGCAGTTGAATGTTTTGTTTTCGTTTTTGAAGGGTATACCCTCTTGCTGCTGTTGGATAATGTTTTATTTTGGTAGGGTATACCCTCTTGCTGCAGTTGAATGTTTTGATTTCGTTTTGAAGGGTATATACTGTTGCTGCAGTTGGTACATGTTTTGTTTTTGTTTTGGTAGAGTATACCCTCTTGCTGCCGTTGGATAGTGTTTTATTTTCGTTTTGGAATGGTAAACCCTCTTGCTGCAGGTGGATAACATTTTGATTTTGGTATGGTGAACTGCTGTTTGATGATGTTTACGTTATGTTTTTGTAGAGTGCACTGCATTTGCTGCAGTTGGATAATGTTTTGTTTTTGTTTTGGTAGGGTATACCCTTTTACTCTATTGTTTTTTGTTTTGATTTAGGTTATACTTCCATACTGCTTTTTGCTGATGAGTTTTATATTTGTTTTCCTTTTGTAGGGTAAACCTTTCTGCTGTTATTGAATGAGTGTGGTTTTTGTTTTGTATGGTATAACATCCTTATTGGTTAATGGTTTGTTTTTTTTTCTTAGTTTTGTTTTGTTTTGGGTAGAGTATACCCTCTTTCTGCTGTTAGATGATGAACCTTGTCTTTTTTGTTTAATTAGGAAATAACCTCCTGTTGCTATTGGATGATTCGTTTGGTTTTTGTTTTGTTTTTGTAGTGCATAATCTCCTGCTGCTTTGAATGATGAGTTTGGTTTCTGTATTGTTTTTGTAGGGTATATCCTCTTCCTGCTATTGGCTGGGTTCTGTCTTTTTAGGTCACCTGAGTAAACTCAGGTGACCTATTGCTATCTGTTTTCGTCCGTCGTCGTGCGTTAACATTTGAAGATTTTTAGCTTCTTCTCTGAAACCACTGAACCAATTTCAACCATATTTGGCATATAGCATCTATGGGTGAAGGGGAACAAAAATTGTGAATTTCATGGTCCTTGCCCCCCTGGGGCCTTGGGGGTGGGGCAAAAACCACTAAAATTAGTGAAATCTTTAAAAAATCTTCTTCTTTACTCCGGGACATCAAGCAGTCAAACTGTTGGTATGATTGGAATCAGCATTGAGTCCTCTACCAAAATTGTGAAATTCATGGCCCTGGGGTCAGGGGTTCTAGTGCTAGGGCTGGGCTAAAACGAGTATATAGTGAAAATGCATTATTACTTTGAAAATCTTCTTCTCTGCTCCTGGGCATTAAATATGCTAACTAAGTACATAGTTATGTTGAATAAGATTGCCTCTTCCAAAATTGTGAATTTCATGGCCCCAGGGTCAGGGTTTCTGGTGTTAGGGCGGGGCTCTATTGATTATATAGTGAAAATGCATAAATTCTTTAAAAATCTTCTCCACTGCACTTGGATATTTAACCAAAGAACTATGTACATAGTTATGATAAGGAAGGATGCTTCTTCCCAATTCGTGAATTTCATGGCCCCTGGGTCAGGGGTTCTGGTGTCAGGGCAGGGCTCTATTGGTTATATAGTGAAAATGCATTAATTCTTTGAAAATCTTCTTCTCTGCTCCTGGGTATAAAACAAACAAACTAAGTACATAGTTATTATGTCTGAGAATGCCTCTTCTAAAATTGTGAATTTCATAGCCCATTGGTGAGGGGTTCTGGTGTTAGGGTGGGGCTCTTTAATTGTTTATATAGTGAAAATACATTAATTCTTTAAAAAATCTTCTCTTCTTCTGGGTATGAAATAGATTAACCAAGTACATGGTTATATTAAATAAGTCCTCCTCTTCAAAAATTATTAATTTCATGGCCCCAGGGTCAGGGGTTCTGGTGTTAGGGCGGGGCTCCGTTGATTACATAGTGAAAATGCATAAATTCTTTAAAAATCTTCTCCTATGCTCCCGGGTATAAAACCACTGAATTATGTAATAGTTATGATGAAGAAGGATGCTTCTTCCCAATTTGTGAATTTCATGACCCCTGGTTTAGAAGTTCTGGTGTTAGGGTGGGGCTCTATAATGATTATATTGTGAAAACGCATGACTTCTTTGGAAATATTTTCCTTTGCTCCTTGGTATAATGCCAATGATCTAAGTATATATATATGATGAAGAAAGATGCCTCTTCCAAAATGGTTAATTTCAGGGCCCCTGCATTAGGGGTTGTGCAGGGGGGGGGGGTTTACATAGTCTGAAAATAAAGTAATACATGTACTTTGAAATCTGTTCTTTGATATTAATCACCCATTTCTGATGAAATAAATTTATAAAATTTCTAAAACTTTAAAATATGTGGCCCTTGGGTCAGTGGTTCCTTTGGGTTGGTGTGCACAACTGGTGGTTATAAAGTGGAAATGCATTTTCTCTCTGTTACTCTGACCTCCCTTTGGGTATTAAGTAACCAAATTAAGAATGCTAAATGTATAGTTATGATAAACAATGGTGCCTCTTTCAAAATTGTGAATTTCAAGGCATTTGGTTTAAAATAGTCAAACCAAATTCAGTTGTTGGAAAGTTGTTACATGTTACTCAGGTGACCTATAAGGCCCGTGGGCCTCTTGTTTTGTTTTTGTAGGGCATACCATCCTACTGGTATTAGATGATGAGTTTTGTCTTTGTTTTGTTGTATAGGAAATACCCTCCTGCTGCTATTGAATGTTTTGTCGTTGTAAGGTATACCCTCCCACTTGTTTGGATGATGATTTGTGTTTTTTGTAGGATGCCCTCTCTTGCTGCTTTGGATGATGAGTTATGCCTTTGTTTTGTTTTTTATACCCTCTTACTGCTATCAGATGACGACTTTTATCTTTGTTTTGTTTTTATTGTCTTTGTTTTGTTTTTGTAGGATATACCCTCCTCCTGCTGGGTTGTGGGCTGATCGTCGTGTCTGGGGTTCTTTTTGCCACCAGTCTGATCATCTTTATGAAGGCCAAAAAACTTAAAAAGGGTATGATCTGATGTATGAGGCTTAAAGGTTTCCTTTAAGACTTCAAGACCATTTTCAGGAAATGTGTTGAGGAAAAATAAGCTTTCGAGTCTGGTTATGTTTTTTTTTTTGCAGGAGCTGAGATGGCCATGATACGGTAAGGCCTTTTTGATTGATTTACATGACCCCATCTAGCTTTTTAATTGTACTTATTCTCTTAATTGTGGTTTCATATGTTGTGGGGGGAATTGTAAAAGAGAAATATATAATACTAGTAAATAAAAATAAATTCGCTTATTATGTATTCATTTTTGGTTGATTTTTCTGTCATTTCTTAATTTTAGTACTGGTATACATTGTATTTATTTGTTTGACACTCCTCAATCATAATTATATGATCAACAACATCCTTATTTCTGGCTATTCATTTCCTTTAAAATGTTGTATGATTTTTAAACTCAAATCTATTAAATCAGAGGTAGGCAAATGATTGTTTAATTCTAATTACAGGAGTACCTACGATTCCGTGCATTTTAGAAGATCATCAGCGCCAAATTATACCTCTTTGGGTAAGAGTCTGATAAGACAATGGTATTGATTAATTGAATTCAATATTGCACTTTATTTATGGAATTCCAACCATGTGATGAAAACTATAAATTATTTTGATTAATTTTAAATTTCAGATGATCTTCGATCACCTAATCGTCGTCCATTAGAAAAACAAGACAGTGATGGTTACGTAGTGCCATCAGCAATAAATTTACAATGACGTCACGACGACGTATAAGAATAGAACAATAGAAACAGCTTTTATAAGAACTGAAATATTTTGTGAATCTGTGCGTGCATAACTTCTTGTGTATCTGTATATTGTGAAAAAGTGCGAAAATAAATGCAAGAAAGGCCGAAACATTTCTAGGGAGTGCGCTGAAACATTAAAAAACGATAAAACATGACACAATACGGTGCTGAAGTGTTGGGGCTTTATGTTCCTATAGAGAATAGTAAGTTACAAAAACAGCTGAGACTCGTAACAAATGGTTGTCAAAATTACGCCTTGTTGGGTTCACAACAGAGCAAAAGGCTATACTAGAAAATGTTATTCACTTAATGATATTTCTTAAAAGAAATAATGGTTATTTTCAAGAAATACATGTTGTATGGCAATTACACTTTAGATTCTCTATGTAACATTTGGGATTTTTTTTCAAACACAACAATGTATAAAATCCATTATGTCTTGAAAATTTAGAGGACCTTTGATGTTTGTCTTCAGCTAAGTGAGAATGTAGAAAAGGGCATCAGATAAGGATATAATTCTGACAAAATTTATCTTTTCGAAGCAGGAGAGCAGCTCCTTTCTGTTCAGTCGGAGAGGCAATATATCCCATTCCATTATATTTGGTTGAGGCTTTGTTATCAATGCTCTTTATTCTGTATTACGCTGAATGGCTCCGATAAACTTTTGATTGTAGGCTCCCTAATTCCTTTATCTCCGCTACTGAACACGTAAAGATACAAAAACCTAAAGCTCCATGTGACTGGAAAATATCTGGAAAAGCTATACAACGGAAAATGTTCCAATTACGGCAAAAGCCAGGCCAGGCGATAAACAATGAACGACTCCTCGTGAAAATAAGCAGCTTTTAAATTCCCCATAATTGGTCCCAGCATTTCAAATACTTCATAGAGGATTTGTGAATTCTGCGACCGGGCCGGGCTGATTCCAGTGCCATTAGGGTATACAAATCAATTATGAAGTCCCTCATGCATACAGCGCAGCCAGACCCAAGGGAAACGTATTAAAGACGGATAAATATGGAATATTCCGTATTTAAGTATGATATATTGTTTATTCGTGATAAGGGAGCATTTCTGTATTAATCTTCGATAGAAAGCCCCAAATGAATATTCATAACTATACAACGTTGAATAATGATTAATGTGGTTAAGATACACTAAGTTATTTAAGCGAAAGGACTACGAAATCAGTGACCAATTTCAGGAAAAAAATTGCTCTCGCTGTAAATATGCGAAGATTTTTTTTATATCCAAATGTCAATACATAAAAAATTCCAGCCGACCATTACAGACATACGGGTAATGTAATAAATGTAGTTTTATATGTATTTTGTATACATTTCGTTTGTACAATTATCCCTCTCGGAGACATTCTGGCATTGTTACCAGCAGACAGAGTAAAACCCAATGAAGTCTGACATATTCATGTAATCTCGGATTTTCTGTATTTCATATCTCCCTTCTCCCTTGGTATCCAATGGAGCAGCGAGCTTCCGATAGTCCCTAACCCCCTATACTGAAACTCTGCAACGGCTCTCAGCTTTCCTTATATTTGATACATGAAGATGCTAATATTCGAAATGAAAATATATGCGTATTGCTTGAATCATCGGAATTGGAGAGGTTCCTTGGAGCAGAAGATTTATACAGAACTGTACAAGCTGAAACGTGGGAGATATCCCCCGATACAAAGCATTAGGCAAATTGGTACCAAGAAATATGACTTTTTCAGAAAGCAATGTCGAAACCGGTGGTGTCACTGAATGAAAAAATACACTGTAGCATTCATCAACCCCGTCTGTTTTGACAGACGGGAATCACAAGATGAATAATTTAAGGGACCCAAGCCATTTCCTGAGAAAGGATTACAACAATAGGGGACCAGCTAGTTCTTGTATCGGAGAGATCTCATCTTTGATGTAATCAGGCCACTCACTCACAACACTGCCATGTGATCGTAATTGTGAGAAATTAATTCCATTAGTTATGAATCAGCAATAGTTAGCTCAATATAAAGTAAAGTCTTGTCAGATATTCTTTTGGAATATCCTTAAGTCGCATAGTGTGAGTGGGATGGATTTATTTCACGTCTCTGTGTATCGAGCTCACTTTCCTAAGAACTGACATCTAACATCACGGGAATTTATGACCCAGGAAGTCAACAATATGCGAGTTATAAATAGTACAAAGCCTAATTACGTGTGTTTTGAAAATATATTTTTTCAAACTTTGTAATAAATACAAATTTATCACTTTTGTTCTCTTAACAATTTAAAATTGGTATTTATAAATATTTTAGCTTTCTGAACACATATTTATGAAAATATTATTACAATGGCAAAGCCCATCTTTTGCTCTGGAAGTCCAAAATAAAGGTCAGATCAAAAAGTAAAATAGAAGGTGCACAATGGCATTTTGTAATAAATAATCTGTAAGAGTATCATCTACTTTTATTCACTTCTATGTTATAGAAAGAAGGCAGTGTCCACGTTTCGTTATAGCGTAATAACAGACGGACGAACATCCTGATCACTTTAAGGGGGAGAGGGGTATAAAAGTATTTTCACTGCAAGAGTGTGTTCCCTTTCTTTTCATCAAAACTTTATATCTTTCAAGGTTCACAATCAATTTGACCTGAACCACCCCCCCCCTCCCAAAAAAAAAATTATTGGTCATACTTTTGCAGTTGATGAGACAGGTCGTCCTATTTTGATGTGCATTATCGGTAATTAGACAAACATTGTATTCCATAAATAGATCAATGAACTCCAATTAAAAAGTGACCAAAGTGGGGAACCACAATTCTCTAAATTTGATTTTTTGAATTGGTCATTAGAGGCCCTATTTATGTCTTCTCAAAATTGTAAGTGATTTATCATGTGCTATGCTTGCTAGGCTTTTTTAGCTCTGAATTACTCCCTTTTCCACCATATATGGTCAAGGTCATAAATAGGTATAATGGAGCCATCCAATTTCATCCAAAAATAAGGAAAAAAAAATAAAATTATTTTGCTTTAATACTATAATAATTGAGAAAATTTCTTTATATAATATGTATTTGGCACATACTACAAGTATAATAAACTAAAGCAATAAAGCAATTTTCTATTTTAACTGTATACTCTAACTGAATAATTGATTTAATATAAACAACATGCTAGCACCATACATATAGTCAACATTTGGAATTATAACAAAAAATCAAAACAAACACCAAGACATCTGCAGGTTTGGGGATTTTGAATTTCTTTCTGGCTGATGAGGTTACACATCTGAAGGTTTGGGGATTTTGAATTTCTTTCTGGCCGATGGGGTTACTTTTGTGGGGATCGGAGACAGAGGAGCGGGGGATCCATAAGACATGAGGCGGGCCATCTTAGCCTGGTGTACTGACTGCTGGGGGTGGGGACTGACACTCTCGGCCACTGATCTAAGGTCAGCTGACTCACACATAGAATTCTTCTGAAAAGTAATAATGACAGACTAATTCACTATTTCAATCTGCTGTCAGGATTTTTCCTATTTCATGTAATTCAACTTTCTTGTTCAGCTAACTCTCACAAGTTTCATTACATGATACACATGTAATTTAATTTGTAATAATTTTTGGGGCTTCAACTCCAATTTTCTTTTCAGGATTATGTTGTTCAGTGTAATTGTTTTGAAATACAAAGGAATATTACTTAATCATTAAGTACCTATATTTTTAAAGGAAATTAACAATACAGCTGTAGTTATGTTTACTATATTATTTACAATAGTTAACTGTAGTGAATACTTTGATACTTTAATTTACATGTATATATAAACTTTCAAAAGAATTTACAATGCATGGATCTGTAGCTCTCTCCTTTATCTGTCCAAATTTCTCAAGCAGAGAGTGACTGTTCTGCAGCTAGTAGGAATTCTACACTTACTATGGGTGTATATTATAGTAGGAGTGAGACACTTACTGTGGGTGTTTATTATAGTAGGAGTGAAACACTTACTGTGGGTGTATATTATAGTAGGAGTGAACACTTACTATCGGGTGAAACACAATAAAGGGGACAGTAAGGTTGCACTTGAGGGTAAAAAATTAATGTCTTTATTTTGGCCCAAATTTTTTTTTTCTAAAAAGTAGATTATCTCAAGGATCTGAAACATAAACGGTTTTGTGAAATTCATATTAGAACTTTGTTTTTTACATGCTGATAATAACCTCATTTACACAGGTTACGGACACTACAAGTGTTGTTGTTTTTGAAATAAATATTGAGAACTGTTTATAAACTTTAATTTTTCAACTGCTCACAAACAAACAACATATAAAAATACAAAATATGGACAAAAGTTGTACTAAAAAAGGTTGCATTATACTTTAAAATGAAAATAGTTCTTACTTCGTTCATTTTTGTTTAAAATGGCAGTATTTCAATTTATGTGAACTCTTTAAAACCAATATAAATAGAGAAAGAACTATTTATAAATAACATTTTTTTATGCCTTTGTTGAAATATAAATACTTCCATTAAAATAGAAAATATCATTTTTATTATTTTCTAAAATAATTTTATAGCTTCATTAAGTTACGGACACTACAAGACCCAAATATTTATGATTGGCTTTTGGTTTGTGGTAAAAAAGAAACATTTTATAAACTTCTTAACTATTAGAAATCAGATTTAAATGATTATTAAATACAAAATGCATGAAAATTAGATATTGTTTCAAGTAAAAACAATTCACTCGCAGAACTCGCAGAACTAATGCCAATAGTAAAAAAAATCCAGTTTAAGAAATCCTGAAACTCTCTTTTTTTACATACATGTAACTATAAAACTGAAGTGCAGAAGAAAAGTTCTCTAATTCATTAAAGTTTCATGAAAACTATTTAGAATATAGGTACACTGATCAACGAAGTCAATTAACCAAATTTAAGGGTTACGAACACTACACAATACTTAAATTTTTCACAGGCTTGAGGATGAAACTTTTGTTTTTCAGCCCTTTTTCTAACTTTTTTCAGGATTTTATTTGTCGTTTCTGTTCCTCCCGATTTTTTTTATTCTTCAGATCTCAACTTCATCTGATAAAAGCATACCATAACCAATATACTTTGAATAAATATATACACATGTAACTTTATACAGGTGTTATGTGCAAGTAGAAAAGTCAAACCTTGAAGAATAAAGCTCACTTATTTTTCTTTAATTTATTTTTTTATTCTATGAAGCATTCTATTTTGCTTCAAACAGTTAAATATACAATAATTTATCTGAAATTGGTGTAATTTTAGTTGTTTTCTTTTTTGAATTTTTTTGTAGTGTCCGTAACCAAATTACTTTCCTACTGTTTAACATTTTGAATGCAAATTTACTTGGATTTAACACATTTTAAGATATTACCTAATAAGCAATTAGACAATTGAAGCAATATATTAGAAGAAATATGGGTTATGTAACTCTTGATAATAATTTTTAACTATTTTTATGTCATTTTGGGTGTTCAGTCATTATTTTAAGTACTAGCAGTAAAAAAAAACACCTAATCTAAAAGAATTCCAGCCAATAAACACCTTTTATCTCTAAATTTAATAATACACTGGTTCGAAAATTTATCTGTAATTTTATGGAGAAAAAAAATAAAGATATTCATTTTTCAACTTTTGGGTTATGGACACTTCACTATACAAGTTATTTAAAATAGGATGAAACTTAAACTCAAATAGAGGAATTCTAACAAGATTTTCTTAAATGTAACACCAGTTGACTTAAACAATGAAAAATAATGAAATGCTATTTGACTTAAATCCTAGGATGTCAGTAACATCTGCCAATATCAAGGTGATGTAAAACCAAGGATCTTGTATATGGAATGGTGCAATCTGGGTTTCCCAAATTAGCTGCATTATCAAAATGAGGGAGAAAATAAAGTACATTGATTAACTTGTTAAACAAACCTCTGACCTTTGTAAATATACTAGCATTAGTGTTTTAACACAGCCTGTTTCAAACTGCCTCAAGTACAGGTTACGGACACTACAGGATTTTGTAGTGTCCGTAACCACATTTGTGATGATACCAGAGAAACAGTGGTGATGATCAGGAAAATTACAACACATCTCAGCATCTGTATGAAATGCCTCTCTAGGAAATTTGTTAAGATATTTATAGAGCCTTCCAGTTTCACAGAATTTAAGTGGTTACGGACACTACAGTTTTTTGTAAAAACTTAATTTTCCACATTAAAACATGATGAAATTTCTTTACAATGGTTACAAAACCCAACTTTTTTCTGTAAGTAACAGAGCATTTATACTGTGTTTTTAGACAGAAATCTGAAAAGTTAAATAATATGGACATTGTTTTTATTTGGCATAATGAGAGGGGTAAAATTATGTGAAAAATGTATAACATTGCACCCCTGTTACATTTTCTTTCATATTATTCAATTCTGAAAATTCAAGCACCAAAATAATTTGTAAAATAAATTCTAAAGTCTGATAATGATCATTGGCATGAAAATGTATGATATTTAACAATTATTTCAATTGAAGAATGCTGTAATTCAAAGCGCAACCGCATAACGCTGAAAAATAGTCATTTTGGGGGTACATTTTTTGCATTTCCTTAAATTCTGTTAAGGCTAGATCAACAAAATTTTGCACACAAGTCCTTTATAAGTATTCCTATAAATGAATTACAATAAATTGCATTTAAAGAAAATAACATTTCTTAAAATCATGTATAACAATGTGGTATTCTAAATGCGCCCTATATTGTGTTTCACCCGTATGGGTGTATATTATAGTAGGAGTGAGACACTCACTGTGGGTGTATATTATAGTAGGAGTGAGACACTTACTGTGGGTGTATATTATAGTAGGAGTGAGACACTCACTATGGGTGTATATTATAGTAGGAGTGAGACACTTACTATGGGTGTATATTATGGTAGGAGTGACACTTACTGTGGGTGTATGTTATAGTAGGAGTGAGACACTTACTGTGGGTGTATGTTATAGTAGGAGTGAGACACTTACTGTGGGTGTATATTATAGTAGGAGTGAGACACTCACTGTGGGTGTATATTATAGTAGGAGTGAGACACTTACTGTGGGTGTATATTATAGTAGGAGACACTTACTGTGGGTGTATATTATAGTAGGAGTGAGACACTTACTGTGGGTGTATATTATAGTAGGAGTGAGACACTCACTGTGGGTGTATATCATAGTAGGAGTCAGACACTTACTGTGGGTGTGTATTACAGTAGGAGTGAGACACTTACTGTGGGTGTATATTATAGTAGGAGTCAGACACTTACTGTGGGTGTATGGCCCAGTGTCCTATTCCTCTTCTTCTCCAATAGTTCTGACACCAGCTGCTGACCTCTCTGTACAAGAGTCTTCTCCCCTGAAGTCTTTATTCTGTCTGTCAGTACCTGGTAAGCACTCCTATGTGGGGCCCCCTGGGGGGACTTGGTGAACACAGAAAACTCCAGGCTGGCTTCTACCACAGGAAGGATTGAGGAACGGTAGGGGAACTTATCTTGGAGGTTACCACCACAGAATAATGTTCCCACAGTAAGGGTAGAGTTCAACCCAAAAGCCTGAAATAGATTACAGTGTATTACAGAATAATGTCCCCACAGTAAGGGTAGTGTTCAATCCAAAAGCCTGAAATACAAATAGATTACAGTGTATTACAGAATAATGTCCCCATAGTAAGGGTAGTGTTCAATCCAACGGCCTGAAATAGATGACAGTGCAACTTGTAAACAACTGACCAATTTTCTTTTTGTTTTACAAATGTCAGATTACATTTAATTTTGTCGAAGATCAGGCTGAGAAGACTCTACCAACTTATTTTTTCATTCTCATACATACATTTTACAAACAACATTCACTTCAACACAAAACACTACTTATTATCATTTTACAAACAGCATGACAGTTTGCTTGATGGGGCGTGCTAAAATTTTGTGTGCTGGTTATCATTTTGCTGATCGATTGGATCAATGAAATCAATACTAATTTGCATATGAAACTCGGAATACAACAATATCCTGATAATACTGACCAATCACATTGAATGATTGTTTACCAGTACAGCATTTGTAGTCAGCAGCAACACGTGGTCAGACAAAGCCCGTTTTCTGTCCTCAAAAAGCATGTATTATATTTGTTGTGATTTGACCTGATGGGTTTTTAAATACGTATGAGAAAATTTAAAGAATGGAACTAGTAAGGCTATTCTGCTTCTGTTGCACTATATATGTACGTTGCTCTATCAATATCATTATAGGAAGTAAAACTTGCTTTGTCCGTTCACGTGTTATTGTTGTTTATTCAAGCGATTGGTCAGTATTGTCAGTGGTATTGTTGGGTTCTGTGTTTCATATGCAAAGTATTATTGATTCCATTGAAATCAAACATCCAATCGATGAGTAAAATGATAATCAGGCATACGAAATTTTAGCACGCCCTATCAAGCAAACTGTCACGCTGTTAGTAAAACGATAATATAGCTACAAAATGCTTTTACAAAAGCTAATTCACCTTTAGACCTCCCCAGAACTTTATTCCTATGATGTCTCCATTTTTATCCATGCCATACAAAACTTCCTGATTCCTAAAATTAAAATTTCATTTGCATATAAAGCTTTGATCTGATGTACTGTATGTGTCCACAATTTAATTATAAATAATAAACGAGCAAATTCAAAGAATTTTGGTCCCCCGCTTTCGGTGTCTTTTTGTGTGAGATGTCATTTTTTTTATGACATTTTCTGTCTAATATGAACGCCCTATCATAAGTCATCTATTTAGAAATTATCACTGAACTCCAAGGTCAAAGTCAAAGGATTAACATTCTTGGTATCCAGTGAAAAGTCTTCTCAAAAGGATTACATATGTGAAGAATGAAAGCCTTAGCCCTTACCATTCAAAAGTTATGGTCAAGGATAGTTTTCTCATAAGTACAAAAATCTCCAAGGTCAAGGTCAAAAGGTCAAGGTTGTTGGTATCAAATGAAAGGTCTTGCCACAAAGAATACATATGTGAAATATGAAAGTCCTGGTATCTACTGTTCAAAACTTGTGGCCAAGGTCAAAGTTTTTGAAAAGTAGGTCAAACTCCAACGTCAAGGTCCAAGGGGCAAAGTTATAGATATTCAATGAAAGGTCTTCTCACAAGAATTATATATGTGAAGTATGAAAGCCCTAACTCTTACCATTCAAATGTTATGGTCAAGGTTAATTTTTTTTCATAAGTACGGAAATCTCCAAGGTCAAGGTCAAAGTTGTTGGTATCCAATAAAAGGTCTTGCTACAAAGAATACATATGTGAAATATGAAAGTCCTAGCGCCTACCATTCAAAAGTTATGGCCAAAGTAAAAGTTTGAAATTTTTGTGTAACCAGAAGTCTCTGTCGAGACTGAAGCTCTACTGGTTTGTACTTATAGCAAAAGAAGAGAAAAGTACTTAGGCAGTTGGGAATTGAAACTTTTCCACAGCAATTAATAGAAAAAGTACGTAAGGGTTGCCCGCAACCCTGTGTCTCGCCTGCTGTCGCTGTGGTTAGTAAGAAATGATTGTCTGATAAACTGAAGCATTTATTGACATTTCAGAAGGAATAACTCAAAAATACAATAATAAAGAAATGGAACAGCTGACTTAATATCTAATCCCTTGGCGATTATATTGGCATTTATATATATATACATATACCCTGTAAATTCACAAATTATTGTGATGTTTTTATTATTGCGAATATTGCAACGTGTTATGAGTCGCAATAATTTGAACTTGCATTTTGAAATCAAATCCACTGTATATGTATCAAGTCATTCATGCAGAAAATGTAGGTGAAGATTACCTAATTATGGTACTGATATTGTTGGTTACCCATGATGTGTAGACTGACAAATTATCATGCCACTATAAGTTATAGTTGCTGAGATATGGACCTCCACCATAAATTTATGCAAAGTCACTCATGCGGAAAAATGTAGGTCAAGATGACCTAATTCTGGTACAGGCGTTTGTGGTTACCCATGATGTATCCACTGACAAATTATCATGCCACTATAAGTTATAGTTGCTGAGATATGGACCTCCACCATAAATTTATGCAAAGTCACTCATGCGGAAAAATGTAGGTCAAGATGACCTAATTCTGGTACAGGCGTTTGTGGTTACCCATGATGTATCCACTGACTAACTATCATGCCACTATAAGTTATAGTTGCTGAAATATGAACCTCCATTATCAATTTAACCAAAGTCATTCATGCAGAAAAATGTAGGTCAAAATGACCTAATTCTGGTACTGATGTTGTTGGTTACTTATAACCTGTACAATGACAAATCATCATGCCATTATAAGTTATAGATGCTGAGATATGGACCTCCACCAAAAATTTAACCAAAGTCACTCATGCAGAAAAATGTAGGTCAAGATGACCTAATTCTGGTACTGACGTTTGTGGTTACCCATGATGTATCCACTGACTAATTATCATATCCCTATAACTTATAGTTGCTGGAATATAGGTCTTCACCATAAATTATCATGAAAAAACTAAGTCCAACTTAAGGAAAAAATACGGAAAAATTTGAATTTTTTTTTTCAAAATCATACTTGGGATATAAATTTTTATCCATACTGAATATTGTGTCCAAATTTCAAGAAGACTGAATAAAATTTGAGAAAGTTATTGCAGTTTATAAAACTTTGACATTTGGGTTAACCAAAAGTTGGACGCCGACGACGACGACGACGACGACGGAATCTATGGTCGCTATGTCTCGCTTCGCGACATTCGTCGCAGGCGAGACAAAAATGATCCTTGATTTAGTCTCTTTATGTTAAAGTATAGTCTACTTGCATGCCACATTACATTATAATCAGACTAAAACTGTATTTGGAGTAGCATTTTGAGTGTATTAAACAGAAATTTCTATTTTTAGTAACCGTGGCAACACCGTTCATTGAAGTGAAAAACTATACACAGAATTATGTGCCTTAGTGTAGTCTACTTGTGTGCCAAGTTATATTGAAATCAGACCAAAACTGTAGGAGGTGTAGCATTTTGAAAGAATTTCACAGAAATTTCTATTTTTAGTAACCACGGCAACACCGTTCATCCAAATCAAAAACCGATACACAGAATTATGTATCTTAGTGTAGTCTACTTGTGTGCCAAGTTAAATTGAAATCAGACCAAAACTGTAGGAGGAGTAGCATTTTGAAAGAATTTCACAGAAATTTCTATTTTTAGTAACCACGGCAACACTGTTCATCCAAATCAAAAACCGATATACAGAATTATGTATCTTAGTGTAGTCTACTTGTGTGCCAAGTTATATTGAAATCAGACCAAAACTGTAGGAGAAGTAGCATTTTGAAAGAATTTCACAGAAATTTCTATTTTTAGTAACCACGACAACACCGTTCATCCAAATTAAAAACCGATACACAGAATTATGTATCTTAGTGTAGTCTACTTGTGTGCCAAGTTATATTGAAATCAGACCAAAACTGTAGGAGGAGTAGCATTTTGAAAGAATTTCACAGAAATTTCTAATTTTAGTAACCACGGCAACACCGTTCATCCAAATCAAAAACCGATACACAGAATTATCTATCTTAGTGTAGTCTACTTGTGTGCCAAGTTATATTGAAATCAGACCAAAACTGTAGGAGGAGTAGCATTTTGAAAAATTGTTTACAGACGGACAGACAGCTAGACAGACAGACGGACGTACGACGGACGCATTACTATCGCATAAGCTCTTCTGGTCTCTGACCAGTAGAGCTAAAAATGGATTAAACTCCAAGGTCAAGGTCAAATTTGGTGGTACCCAAAGAAAGGTCTTGTCACAAGGAGTACACATATGAAATATGAATGTCATAGCTCCACTAAATCAAAAGTTATGGGCAAGGTTAAAGATTTGTGACAGACGGACAGACAGACGAATGAGATTTAATGTCCCCTCGCTTTCACGAAAGCGGGGGACAATAAAAATAATTATAGCAGAGAAGTTTCTTTACCTTTCATTTATTTCAGCCAATTCAATGCTTACAATAAAACACACAATATCTAGCTCTCCAAATATAGGCTGCCGCCTCTTCAAATCACAGGCACAGAGCACCTGCAACGAACAGGATATGTATACCATAAATCTGGAAATTTTTATGTGGATTTTATTTTGCAAATTTGGGTCAAAATGGTGTTGACTAATTTTTACGTTTCAAAATTTTGCGAATTACCACTGCTTTGTTTACATTTTCTTATTGGTAATTTATTTTAAGAAAAATATTTTTGCGAATGCAATAAAAATTTATCTACAGCAAAAATTTCCAGATTTACGGTACAAGGTGTATCTTGACTTTTTCACCTATTAAAGAAAAGTAATTCTTCATTGGAGAGATTAATCTGCAATACTTATCTAGCCCTCCACTTAAAACACAGAACTTACCTCTCTGGGTTCAAACACCATGTCTAGGAGATTCTCGTCCACATTTACAGGTAAGAATTTGGTTTGTCTATTAGCTGTAAGTTGTATGTTGTATTGACTGAACTTGGCTCTGTAAAATAAAGCAAGGTAGGTTTAGTAAGAAATCATTCCAAGATTACCCAAGAAAAAAAATTTCAACAAGGGCACCGCTAAGCGGAACATCCCCTCGCGGATGGACATATTATGAACATATATGAATCACTAAAGGCGAAAATGAGAAATAAGGTCTCTCTCTCTTTACACATATATATGTGCACATACACAGATTCTCACTTTCAAATTATAGCAAGTATTTAACCCTGTTCCCTGCAGTCAGACATTTTAACGCGTATACCATTATTTGAATACCTACCTGAGTATACCTCACAGCTGCATGCAATATGCATCATAGGAATTCCACGGAAGCAACTTTTTCGCAATGAAAAATGACTATATACCGGTATTGGAAATTTTGTCTTTCAAGGATTAAGAACTACGTGCGCCTCAATAATAAATGTCATATTTAAACAGACATACAATGTATGTGGTAAATTTTGAGTATTCTCATTTGTCTGATACGCACAGCAATAAACAGACACGTGTGGTATCCTACATAAACAAATTGTCAGTGTCTGATAATCACAAAAATATGAAAATACACCATATTTATTACCTGACGATCTCGGCGAGCCTCAGACGGCTTTGCAGACGGCTTTTAATCTGGTTCCCGCACACTCGACACGGCTTTGAAACTGGTTCCCAAGCGGAAATGATTATTGTCAACTTGTACATAAAATGTCAGGGTTTCGAGGCAGTAAAACGCGATTTCTGAAGAAAGGTTTCACCAATAAACTTGAAAATGAATAGGCTTTGTCCTACTATACTACTACAGAAGTATGTAAATGCTGAGAATGGTTAATGCAAAGGTTTTCTGTAAATCTTGCCCACAAATGATTATTGTTAACTCGTACATAAAATGTAAGGGTTTCGAGGCAGTGAAAACACGGATATCTGAAGAAATATTTCAGCAATGAACTTGAAAATGAACAGGCTTCGTCCTTTTGTACTGCCACACAAGTATGTAAACGCCGAGAATGGTTAATGCAAAGGTTCTCTGTCAATCTTGCCCACAAGGTGAAACGAACACACACACTAACACACACACATACGCACATTCGCGATGCTATATCCCCTCCGCAACTAATTGCGTGAGGGGATAAAAATGACTTCGTAAAATAATATAATTAATAAACTTATGAAGCTTTAAACATATAATTAATAAACTTATGAAGCTTTAAACACTAGCAAAAAGTGCTCTTTGGACTTGGAGAAAAATATATCAGCTAAAGGTATACATATTAAGGCTATTTTATTCATTTTCAATATAGGATACCTGCCTAAATTCTGCAGGAAAAATGTTCAAAGACAATGCACAATGCATATACAGAAACACCATTGTTCACTTAAATTGGGAAAATAAATGGAAGTGATGAAATCAGTTACTTATTCTTGGTCTAATATAATACTAGGCATATTTAAGTTTATTACAAATTGTGTAATTAACAATAATTTAACCACTTTTTTCTATCTCACTTCTAAGGGCAGATCACTCTAACAGCATAAATCTATCCTAAAATTAGAACTCTTAAATGTGCAGTGTTTACAGCTTCCTTAAGCATTTAATTTTCAGGCGTTGATCCTCCCAACCTATTATCTATTAAAAAGCAAAATATACTTGCAGTGTTTTTTAATACTCTCTACTTAGTTTTTGTAACTACATGTATACAAAACATAACCTTGATTGAGCGGTGGACAGAGAGAATATCCTGTATCGCTGTCCCTCTTTTAGCTCCGTCACTTCCTGTCCTGGACGCCACACCGAGATTATTGTTGCTGAATAATTCGAGTCATATTAATGTTTAATCTACTGAGATTCAAAGGAGAAAATGCTTCAAAAATTGATTCTTTTTTATTCCAAGATATACTTACATATTTTGGAATCCACATCCTTTTTTGACAGTCCTACTACCCTAAGCTTTAACAGAGGAACCACATTTCTGCTTTTCCCCTCCTGAAATATAATTGTGTACTTTATTATGGTCCAATTCTTGTTGGTAGCTGCCCTTCCAAATTATTAACTAGAAACCCTCTACAGAATATTTTCCTGAACAATTAATCAAAATGACCAGTATACCCCTTGTTCATCACTCCAGGCTTTTTGGAATTCATTCTGAAGTCTCTGAAGTTTCTCCTGATGAAGTTCTTGTTTGTAGTCCATTAATGATCTCAGCTGTGAATCACTCAAGTACCCCTGAAACCATATCAATCTATACCTAGTGAAACATGAATGCTACATTTCGTAGGTTCTGCTTCATATACCAGTATGTACATGTAAGTAAGTTTAACAGGGGTATCAAGATTAAAACTGCAAAGATACATTTGCCTTTTTATGAAATAGGAATCTTCTTTTTAATATTACACCAAAGTAGGTTAGAGAGAGAGAGAGAGATATTCATGACACTGATAGAATCTACTAGTGAATACCATACACTGTTTACATCAAAAATGTCAGGTCTCTTGGCTGTATATACTGACCTCTACAATGTCGGGTCTCTTGGCTGTTCGGAGAGCCTCCCACACTTCCTGTCCACACTGTAAATCCTCTATCTCACCCCTACTCCACTGTCTTTTAACAGCACAGCTCTCTGGCAAAATGAATATAAATGTTTGTTCAAGGTAACACCACAATCTTAGATCCACTCCTTAAATGTGTAGTGATAATTCCTAGCCGAGTGCCATGCATTAGAAGTGATTTTTGCTGAGAAGTCTCAAGGATATGACCTTTAAATGAAGTACCCCGGAGCAAAGAAACTTCACTGCTACATGCACAGGTCAAAACTATAAGTGAAATTTTATTCAAAGCTGTTTCTGTCTCTACATTACAAATTATTGAATAGGGTGTTAAACTGCAAGAAATTAAGATAATCATTAAGTTTATTCAGAGAACTCTGATTTTTTAAAATTTTGTGATGGTAAAGTTAGACTCTCTACCTTCGTAGTCTTCTTTGTCCATTTTCCCCTCCAGTTTCCTGTACAAGGCCTCTTTGGCTTGCTGTTCCTGTTTCTGATGAAGCTGACTGAATTTTTCCTCAGCCTGGGCTGTTCTAAAAATAGAACCTCCTCCAGACAATTTCTCCATATACTACAAATCATCAAACATATACCAATACTTCAGGTTCTGCATCAATTACTTCCAAAGCAAACTTCAATCCGTAAAACAACTCAAGGTCAGCAAAAAAATTCTTTATATTGCAGACCTGTTTACCCTTATCATTGTCTCTCAGTATTTTTTTTTATTAGATTTGTCCTTGAGATTTGAAATTTGCCAGTAAGTTTAACTTTCCATCGGTTTTACATATATGAATAGAGAACAACTGCTTTTTTGATTTCTAAAACATTGTTAAATAACATTTTAGAAGATTTGTCGTTTTATACCACAAGGTTTTGGCAACTCAAGTTTTCTCGACATCTCTTATATGTTTCACTTGCTGCAGGCAATTGATTGATTGTTGTTTTACACCAAGTCAGCATTATTTCAGCCATATTTCAGCAGATCATAATTAAAACTAACTGCCAAATTCCAAACAAACGTATTTCCATATTTTCATAACACCAAACGTGAGACGCATTTTGGATAAAATATATGGCGAAATAGTAAGAGTAAACAGCTCTGATATTGTATAAAGTTTGGGATAATGTTATGTAATATTAAAGAAACATTTTAAAATCCTTTGCATTCACTTTCACATATATACTGACACGCAAAAGAAACGCAACAAGCAGTAATTTACAAATGTTTGATTTTTTTTTCTTATGATTTTCAAAAGCGAATAAAGTAAGGCTAAATTCACTTTTCAGAATATTAGAGATTTGATAAAAATGTTAAATGTTTATCTGTTTACTTTACTATGTAAAGTATGACTGTTAAAACACCCCCCAGCCATTCAAGTAAAACGTGCAAGACTGCCCTATACAACAATTGTAGCTTAATTCCTACGATACAATAGGTTCATTTATATCGAGATCTGAGAGAAGGAATTATTCTTTGATATTTTTAAATGCCCGTTTTTCAGATAATTAGGTCGAATTTTCTCTAACTTAGAGCAGTGTAGTCACCCTTGCACTTCCGGTACAAGGACTTCCTTAATGCATATGATACGTAAGACCCTGCTGAGGCGAAATGTAGTGAAATTTCGCATCAGCAACTCTCCATCACCTTTACATTGAAATTATCCAGCTAGAGCAATGGAAATGCGTCCATAAGCCATTTTCAAGTAGCCTTAGCATTGTTTGGGAAACGAAAAAGTTTATTTTTTGAAATATTGCTGCATTACTTATGATGAACAGTAAAAAACCCTTAAAACTCCATAATATTGCCAAATGTTTTGTTAAGCATGCAATTTTTGATTTCTGTTAAGCAGACTAAAACTTGACTTCCGGTTATGATCTGGAAATCGTTCAACCGTTAATTTACTGATGTTTACCAAATTAAAAATATTCATAATTTTAAGATACAAAATTCTTTTCTTTACATAATTATTTCCCCCTAAAATAGGGTGTTGCATTTCTTTTGCGTGTCAGTATAGTACATAAAGCTATAATAAATGAAGAAAAAAAAGTTACCCTTCTTACATACCATTAAAGGATATTTTCTTCCCAATACTACATCAATGCATCCGACCACTCCTCCCTCCCCATTGAGATCTGACAGAGGAACACAGAGGGGGCGGGGATCCTTCTGAAACCCCAGCAGGGTGTCCCAGGAGACTGGTCTGGTGGAATTAAAATTGATCTTTAAATGAAGAGAAGCTGGTGCCTAAAACAGATCAAAACAAGGTATAGATTATAAAACAGGCTCAGAAAAATCTTTATACAATTTATTGAACTCATCTCTAACACATTAAAAAGTAATGTATGGAAATAGCAATACTCTTTATACAATTTTCCTGAGCTCACCTCTAATGGGGCACAGGGATCCTGACTGCCCACTAACTCTGCCCCTGAGGTACACAGTTTGTCCCCTGTTTGGATCCTTTTTTTATTGATAAGGTCCAGTAAGGGGATATCCAGTTTAGCTGGGATACAATACCAACCATCTGTCAGCTCTACCGTCACCTAAAATAAATGTGGTTTGAAAATTTAGAAACGTCAACATGCATGCTTCTTAATTTACCTGTTCCCTTATTTTCTTTTATTTATAAGCATTGATGGTCACAATCTATAAAATTAAGAATACATTGAGGATATTAAGCAATAGGCTGTGACATCATACCTTAGAATGAAAATTGTGTACAAGGCTTTCAACAACATACCGTATAGCGGGTTATCTTGGCAGGTGTAAATTTTGGCGTTTTGCCTGCTCAAAGGTATGCTAATAATTTTGGCGAAATTTATTTTAGCGAACACAGGGTTTCATCTCTTTGCAAATGAACACGAAGAAGAGTACTGAATATTTAAGTGATTAAAATTTTAGCGAACTACTGTACAGCAGGAAATTAACTCGCGGAGTTAATATTCGCTATATTCGCGGATAAAGAAGTTCCGCCAATTCAACATACAGTGAATAATTCTTGAAATTATTTATAAGGATAAACTTAAATTTTTTTTATCATCGGTGATTAGATGTAGACTGTCTTTATACTTATGCGAGCGTATGGATCAATTACAAACATGTAGTTGTTGGTGTTTTCAAAGCTTATGAATTGTTAAATAAATTTCTACAGCTAATGATTACGGTAATTTTGCCATCTATAATTAGCTTGTATAATTTCACCAGTGCGTATAACTCAGTCATTACCTTTAATCAAGGCACAAGCATAGTAAACAGGGTAGAAACAATTAATTAATTTCAATTATATGATTTAAAGTTCAACATTTTGACAACAGTACAATTTTTTTCTGATCTGGACTCGGAAATTAAAAAATCTGAATGCGTAATATTGTTTTGACTTCAAATCGGGATCAGTCCGGTGTTTCGTAATTATTCAATCAGGCTCACAGTTGACACAATATGTAGACTTGCCTTTCCTGTCTGATATGCGCGATATAATAGAAACTGGAAATTACAGCTAGCTCACACAATTTATAACTTAAGAAAAATGCTTGCAAGTACTGTTTAAAAATGTATGTTTTTTTTCCTTTCCACGAATTCAAACGACCGCGATTTGCTGAAAATTGAACAAATCGCGATCTTTTCCAACCGCGATTTTAACCTGCTATACAGTACCATCAAAATGCCAAAATTGACACCCCACTAAAATAACCCGCTATATGGTAGGAGAAACTCTAGCAAACTGAGTCCCTGTCAGGACTATTTATTTACTCTCTCACTATCATATAGAAAATCAGAGATTATTTCTCCATAAAGGGAAGGAAATTTAAAGGTTTTGTCCCTTTCCTGTTATTTCTTGAACACTATGACAAAATACCAATTTTATTCATGAACACCATAAAGTATTTCACTTCTGATGTTATGTAATAACATGTTATATGAAATCTGAAATAAACCTCAGCTTCTAGAGGAGTCTGTTGTTTGTTGGCTGGTGTTGAAGCCTTACTCTGCTGTTCTCTACATATACCAGATACACACAGTACCATTAGTTTGGTGGACATGTCATCTCTCTCCATAATTTTTCTTAAGGCCGACCTACAAGACAAAATCATAGATTTCATCATATTATATAAATTTGTACATTACACATCTTTTGTCTATGATAACACATCTTTTATCTATGATTTCACATTTTCTGTTTATTTTTCTACAGTACCTATGACATCTGTCTATCTCTCTATCGTATCTGTACTTCATCTGCAGCATCACATTTTCTGGAGTCAGAGCCCTGAAGAGACAAAACAAAGTACATATAATTCTGAGAGGCATGTGCCTAAATAGTACCAAAAAATTCACAGTAGAGGGACATTTGGGACTATATTTGTCTGGGTTTACCTGCCACCAAACTTATCAGGGGAAGCAACTTCATATGATGCCAGTTTCCACACAATCCACCGGTAGTGATTACAGAACCATGCCTCATTGATCAGGGAGCAGTCCACACTGTCTATTGTCAGAAAGGCTCTACAAGGGGATTCAAATGTTTTATTCATTTAAATATAAATTTCTTCCTTAGAGTTATCTAATGAATAACTCTAAGCTTGCACATTATTCTGTTAACTTCCTACAGTAAGAGACAAATGAAGAATATTGAGACTAACATATACATCTCCTTCACACCGGTAAATCCTTTCTCATCAGGAACAAGAAGAGCCCCATCTCCAACATACACCTGAGTAACATCACTGCTGTAAAAATCTGGTAGGTAAAACTTATGCTTGACGGCACTGCAGGCTCTCACAGAACAGACAGGTGCAGAAACATTGCGTAACTGTAAACAAAAATTACATTAAAAATATACATATAAGAAAACCTGTTTTTTTTTTGTTTTTGTTTTTTTTATTTACATACCTTTAAATTGTAATATATTATTTATTTATTTATTAATTTATGCAGGTACCTACACAAGTATTTGTCTGACTTCTAGTTATCACCTCCCTCAGTCTGACTCTCTGTCCTGAACTTTTCAGTTGAAACAATCGCCCAGCGCTCGGCTTCACATTACATGAAGCCTTTGACTTTATCATATCCTCTTGTTTATTTCTGGCAGTCTTCAGAGCATTTAAGTACCCTTTTGTATTAACTTCCTCAGTCCTATTAGGTGAACTTTGCTTTGAGCATGAAGCTTGACAAGTACTTCCTGCATTCATTGTTTCTTCTATTGATAGAGAGGAGGGTTGACCAGATGGTTTTGTTTTGGGTACAAACACAGGCTGTACTGATTTAACTGCAGGGTTAGGTGGAGTGTTGATAGAATTCGCTCCTGCTTTGTAGGGGGTCCTGAAGGTGGAGCTTTGTGCAGTAGCAGCATGAGCTGTGTTTTTCTTTGCTTCGTCTGCCTTGATGCATTGGGCACTCCTAGAAATAGCACACAAAATGTAATTGATATTTAATTCCAACAATTTAAATATACATTTGTATCAAATGACCCTTATATATTCATACCTGATCTGGACATCAATTAGGTTTTCACATTTTAATGGTTTACTGTAGAAATTTGTCCTGTCCTTTGTATAACCTGATCAAAGAAATAAGATATTTGTTGGGCTTTCTAAGTAAAAAAGCAAATGAAGTAATCAATATATAGATATGTTCAAATAAAAGCAATGCAGAATACACATTAACAGCACATATAATGTAACATGTAAAATACCTTCAGGAACGGTTGAAAGTGCTGTCAAATTCTTCCTCTCACCTACAATTCAAATTCAACAAATATTTGAGATAAGCAACTTTAACACTTTTATTTATATACAATGTAAAGTTATACAGTACTGCAAATGAAAAAAATATTAGCTAAATTTTTTCAAGCTTCTGTTCTTGATATCAGAAGAGAATTGGATAATGTTAACTATACTAGTTACCTAGATTCTGGTTTGATTCCTGGTCAGAGTCCATCTTAATTTTCTTGTTAGGCGTCTCCATTTCATCAAAGAAATCATCGGGCAGCACCAGATTGTCATACTCTCTGGGGTCTCCCACACTCTGGTTCTTTGGCCTCTTGGGAGTCAGCATGGCCTCTAACTTCCTCTTCTGAGTATTTATCTGAAATACCACACTAGATCCACCACTGTGTGTTGCTGGTTTGTCAACATTTTCTTCGTCATTTTTCTCTAACCTTTTAGGAGCTATTTCAAGAGACTCTTTCGACACTGCAATAGATTTCCCACTAGCACTTTGGAAAGGCGAGATCTTTGGATGTATTTTTCCATTATTCAAAGTTTCTGAAGATTGTTCCATAGAATCTGTTTCTGCTAGCTTAGAACGAGCCATATCAAGTGATTTCTGTGAAACTGAGATGGTTTTGCCACTAGCACTCTGAAAAGGAGAAAATGGTTTTTCCTTCGACTTTACTTCTACAGTTGTACAATCTGATGTTCCCATTTCATGGTTATCTGCAAACTTTGCTTTGGCGATCTCTAGAGACTTCTGGGACACTGAAACAGATTTACCACTAGCACTTTGAAATGGAGAGAGGTTCTTTTTCTCTGCCGTAAGGTGATCTACTTCATCGTTGTCTTCACTGAAGAATGACTTGGTGGATTCCAGGGCTGCATATGACACAGAAATCTGTTTTCCAGATGCACTCATAAATGGACAAGCTACAGTACTTGCAGATGACTGCTCAATCTGTTTTGCATTTCTATTTAATCCAGTTATATTTTGCTCACAATCATCTAACTTTTTGAGTTCACTTATATGGGCTAAAGCCTTTTCAGATATGTGAACACTTTTCCCTGAGGCACTAATAAAAGGACTAACTGAAACAGATGACAGGAAACTTTCGTTCTCCTTTCCTGACATGCTCTGAAATTTCTGTGGGATACTGGGTGATTTAGCAGCAGATTTTAAATCATTTACCTTTGGAACAGCTTGGATATTTTCTGATGTCTCTTTAAGAGGTATTGAGGAATCCAGGTTCACTTCTGAATTTGTGTCTTTTGTAACATTTTGTGAAAAATTGTCATGAAATAAATTTTCCAGAACAGATTCTGGAAAGTTTTCATTATTTTCTTCAGAAGAAGAGGCCCAAAGCTTTTTTGCTTCAGCGACAGATTTTTCATCCACTTTAACCACCTTCCCTGATGCTGTTTGAAATCCACCAAATGAAATTTTATCTTGACTTGGTACATTCCTTGCGATGCCACATGAACTGATAATTGTTTGTGCATTATCTGCTGAAGAACTTTCTAATGGTTTCTTTGCTCCTGATAAGGTACTTTCACTGAAGTCCACTTGTTTTATAGGGCTGGAACTGTCTGCAGGTTCCTCTAGAGGACTTTTCATGCCATCCATGTTTTTACTCCTACTGGATACATCATGGAACTTCTCCCATAACTTTCTGGCTTCTAAAGTGGAATCATCACATACACTTACAGTTATGCCAGAAGCTGTATGAAATCCTTGGAATGTTTCATTTTTACTGTTTTCATGTACAGACTTCAGAAAATCCTCTCCAAGTGATTTTTCCCATAATTCTGTTGCTACAGATAGAGATTGCTTTTGCACACTTACACTTTTACCTGAAGCTGTCTGAAATCCTTTGAATTCCCTTGTCATATCATAACCTTCATCTTCTAATGCAGAGGAATTCACTGTCCTAGGTTTATCATTTGATTCATTCAAAGTGCCTTCTGTTTTTAGATTCAAATTTAAATTGTTTCCTTTTAAGTCAGGATTAGAATTTGAGAGTTGAAGATCTGTATGTAGAATGACTTCTTTATCTTTGAATGTAATCTCAGGATCAAGAGCATCAAATTTATCTGAAATTTCTTCTGTTTGCTTTTCCAATAGTTCCTTTGCCTTCTTCAGACTCTCGTCATCAATGCTGACTGTTTTACCAGAAGCAGTTTGAAATCCACTAAAACTAGGTTCTGTCATTCCAGCAAATGATTTTTTAACTTGCTTATCAACCAGTTCAGTTTTATCTTTCAACTTCTTACCAGAAGGCGAAGGCGTGTTTTCTTCTTCTCTCTCTACAGATACCCTACTTCCATTTGCGTCATTTACATTGACTTTTCTCTCAGCTTCTGGGGTTAACTTTTGGGAGATTTCCATTTCTTCATCAAACATATCGTTCAAAAATAGATTGCTTAAATCTGCACTGTCATCAGGTTTTTCAGCAACTGTTTCTTCCTTATTACTTATCTCATCCATTTTCTCCTCCTTACTGCTTTTTCTCTGAGAGGTTGTATCTGTACATTTACTTACGTTCATTTTATTTTCATATGACATCTCAGATTTGGTCTCATCCTGCTTAGGATTTTCTACAATATTCGATACTTTATGTATGGAGTCATTCAATTTTGGCTTAACTAAAATTTGAGGTGGTTTAAATGGTCTAAAGCCTTTAGGAATGTTTGAGCCAGGAGGGAATTTTGCAGCAATGGATGCTGATTTCATCTGCTGATCAGCTTTCTGTTGTTTTATTGGGAAACTGCTTCTTGGTTCTGGTTTATGATCACCTATTCCCTTCTTCTTTATTCCAGAAAATAAAGTTTGAATAATTTCCTTCTCATCAATTTCAGTAGAATTATCTCCCTTCCCTTCCAGTTCTGTACAAACTGCTTTGCTTTCTACTAGAACAACTTTTGCACTGCTGAATCCCTTTCCACCAGCTGTCTTAAATCCACTGAACAAGTCTGAATCAAGATTACCACTAACTTGAAATTCCTCAAATATATCTGAGAAAATGTTTTTTCCTTTGGCTTTCAGCTTTCCAGTATCGAAATTTCTAGAGGATGCTGCCGTTTTCATAGAACCTTCTTCAAGGTGAAGTTTATTTGCACTTGAGAAACCTTTAAAATTTGCCCCCTTCAACAAATCACCTCCTTCCCTGTCCCCAGATGGCACTATTTCTAGAGTATTTTTGTCACACCCTGTATCTGGAAATTCTCCGGCATCACCCTCATCTGAGATAATCATTTGAGCCTTTCTCAGAGAATTTTCACTTGGTTCTACGTTCTTTCCACTTGCTGTTTGGAATCCTTGAAAACCAGCAATACACTCTGAAGAAATTTCTATCTTGTCTCCTTCAGCTTGTTCAAAGTTTGCTCTGCTTTGAAGTAAATGTTTATTGATGTGTGTTTTCTCTGAATGGCTCTGTTTCTGCACAGTTTTCTCCCCTATTTCACTGGTATCTACTTCTAATATTGCCTTTGCTTTCAGTAAAGCTTCTTTCGTTTGAGAAAACTTTTTACCAGCTGCTGTGCAGAATCCCTGAAATATCTCTTTGGTTTCCCTGGGTGTATCTACTGCTAAATTATCTGTAGAAGCTTGACAAGGGAGATAACTTGATTTTGTGTAGTGTATGGTGTCTTCTGAAGGCTTGTCTGTATTAGACATGGTGGACGGAATGTTTCTTTTGTCTGGTAATGGACTTGCTTTCTCTGATCTGACACTGCTATACTTTTGTACCATTTCATGATCCTCTTTAATGGGGATAGAGATGTCTTTTGAACAGTCCTGTAAAGAAGAAAGTATCCACTACTTGAAAATTTATTGAATAACTTTTGAACAAATCAAAAAATATTCTGCTAGACAAGTTTTTACTTGCTGACTAATCACTATTCTTCACACAGAGTTGTTTTTTAAAAAGGAAAAATTTATTCCAAAAACTTGCCTTCTTTTTGACAACTGTCTGCAATGATGAGAACTTCTGAAACCCTGGCAAAATAGAATAAAACTGTGAATAAACTTGAAAGAATTCAATAATTTAATATTGTGCTAGCAATAAATTCATTTTGTACAAATCCAGGTATATCAAGTTTTTTGGAGGTACCTGTTACCATTCTAACTAGGGATGTCAAAATTGTCAATAATTGATATTCGAATATTCGACAGGAGTATTCGAATATATTCGAATATTCGATAAAATAAATACATTTTGCATTATTAAGAGAATTTAGTATATATTTTAACTCTCCTGTCAACAAGTATATGTTTAGTCATTATTTTGAAATAAAATTTCACACAGAGTTTTGTAAATGCAAAGTAATTATATATTTTTTTTTAAATTTACAGAATATATGAAGAGTATACATCTAAATGTAATGAAAATTTGTTTTTGAAAATTCAAAAGCTTCTTAAATATGTTCCAGCTAGATTAATTGATCGTCTTACCAAAGTCTACACTACTTACTCCTACATTTATACCACTCTAAACAATTATCTATGGAAGAAAAATTAAAATCAATTAATTTTAGTGAATTAATTATCCAATAATTATTTTTAATGATATATACATTAACAAGGGGTCCTTGTGTTTTCTGTAAAATTGTGCCCTTACAACAATACAAACTGATTGTAAGTACTTGGTACTGTTATACCACTAATTAAATGATCAAAGAATTATTTATTCTAATAATTACACTCTTCACACTTTTAAAGTAATCCAACAGGAGTGTCTTTTAATTTTTTTTTTTAAATCAAATCTTATTCATGTCAACGGTACGAACTTCATTCAATTTCAAATAAAATTTGTCAGATTTTTATCTCAGAGTCTAAAACCGAATATTCGAATCACAAATTTGTATTCGAATATCAACTTATCGAATGAATATTCGAATATTCGAATATTCGTTGACATCCCTAATTCTAACAATTTAGTGTAAAATGTTACAGTAATAATGATCTCTAGTATATTGAATTTACAGATATTTTAAATTACTTCAGTGAGAATAAATCCGTAATGAGAAGAAGGAAAACAGCATTCCAACTGAGGCAAAAAATAAACATGTTGAATTTCTTTAAACTGAATCACAGCCTTTATCAAATTCAAACAGAATTAAGTATAATCTCCTTATCTGTTTATTACCTTGAACTGAGCTGACTTTGGGGTTCTCAGTCTGTGTCGGCCTGTTGACATCAATCTCTGGTCTCTGACTCACCACTGCTTCATCCTGCTGTATCGCCAAGGAACCATCACCATGTTCATCTGGCACATGATGGCTTTGGAAAGGTGACTCCACTTCTTTATAGCCATATACAGTCTTGGGGCATGACTTTGTGATCTGGTTACTGGTAGGATATGAAAATTTTCTGTTCTTACACCTAAGGCTGGACAAATTAGAGTTGACTGGGGTTTCCTTTTGTTTAGAATTTATGTTCTTCTGATCTTCTGACTTTATTTTGCTTTGTTCTTTGTCATTAGAATTTACTTGTTGTTTCTGGATGTTTTCAGTGATTTTGGGGGATTTTTCACTTTTGTTTGTTAATGTATTAGAGTGCACTGTGTTTTCATCAAATGTTAATAGATTCTCATTATTAAGGGAACACATCTCATTCAATGAAGTCGGTGATACTTGGGAGAACAAATCATCTACATCTTCAGTAGTCTCATCACTTTGTTTCTCTGAGTGGGAGACCAATTCCTTGCTCAATGTCAGATGACTTGGAAGGTCAGACGAGTTTTGTTCTAAAGACTGACCAGGTATCTCCATCTTTATTACTGTATCAAGTTCTTTGTTTGTATTATTAGCTTCCTTCACTGTGTTAGATTCTTCAGCAGTGTCTTCAGTATGACTGAAGGTCACACGTTTCCTTGTACTTGATCGTCCAGACCTTCTCTTCTCGTTAGATAGAATTGACTTGACCCTCTTGTTACTTTCCACAGGAGTCTTGTACTTTTCTGCGCTGGGTCTATCCTTAACAGCCTTCACTGGAGATGTCGAGAGGGGAGAATTATTTATAGTAACGCCAACATTTACAGCTGAATCCTCCCACGACTTCCTTTTCTGTCCCCTGTTTGGAGCACCTCGACGCTTTCCTACAGACTTAGAGGGTGGATCAAAGAAATCAGACAGGGTTTCATCAATGACCTCTTGCTTCAGGGTCACAGCTTTATGTTCCACCAATGGACCTTTTTCTAAACAGCTAGGTGATTTTCCACATTTACTTGGCGTAATCTCGTCTATTGTATTTGAATCCTCTGGTAAGAGTTCTTGAGAAAATATAGGCTCACTCTCCCACTCTGTTGGTTCAGATTTCACAGGGATGTCAACTATTATCTTTGAGTTAGTTTCTAAATCTTCTTTTGATTCTGCCTTTTCTGCTTCATTAAAACTACAGCACAGTTCATCCTGACTCTTAACAAGTCCTGGAGAAAACAATGCCCTTGGTACTTTCTGGAAAGGTTAGTATAAGAAACATTTACCATGAATCACGTGAACAAAACAGTACTGTTTGTCACCAAACGTTGCAAAATCTTTCACAAATTACAATTTATATAATCGTTCATCTAAAAAATGTATGGGAATAATCACTTGATAAAGTGATTATAAAGAAGAAGTAAAAATTTTAATACTTTTGATAAATATGCCTCTACAAAAAAGACAATGGACAAAGTTCTATTAGAAATGCCCCCTCAAACCTTTGGTTCATGATAACTAAAAGCTATTACGAGTCATATGAAGTTCTAAATTCTTTCAATTTACAATCTTTGGTCAATTTTTTTTTCCATATTTACCTTCTGTTTTTCTGAATCTGTGTACTCTTTTTCACAGGAATCTGAAAATAGAATGTATACAGTCAAACTCGGTTATAGCGAAGTCCTGGGGACCTGTGAATTTAATTCACTATATCCGTAATTCGCTATATCTGTATAACGAATTCATATAACCATTATAGCGAATTCGCAATATGGATGTTTTACTTCAAGAATTACTATCAAATATGTTAGGGAAGCAAATATTACAAAACATATTTTCGATAACTGTTTTATTATGAATTGAATTTTATATACTAATTCTAACAAGAGGCCCAGGGGCCACAGCGCTCACCTGAGCACATCGGGCTTGAATTTTGGGGGGCGCGCGGGGGGGGGGGGGGGGGGGGGGGGGGGGGGGGGGGGGGGGGGGTGGGGGGGGGGTGGTGTGTGTTGAATTTAATACTACTTGAGAATGCTTTCATATTAATACAGCATATGACTTTGCTGTTCTTGATAAAAAGATATTTTAAAAACATTTTCTTCCTATATATAACTTCATAAAAAGTTGAATTTGATTCCCCGTTGTTTCCCTCCCTACCCCAAAGGGCCATGATTTTAATACATTTAAAATCAGGATTTGAACAAACTTAATTCTGCACTATCCGTAAATGCTTCCATATAAATACTGGTATCACTAATCTTGGCTTTGCTATTCTTGAGGAGAAGATTTTTTTATATATATTTAATGTAAAACTTGGATCCCCCATTGTGACCCTACCCTACCCCTGGGGGTCATAATTTGAATAAACTAGAATCAACACTACCTGAGAATGATTCCATATAAATATCACTAATCATGGCTCTGAAGTACTTGAGAAGACGATCTTTAAAGATTTCCCTATCAAGACCTATGTAAAACTTTGATCAGCCATTTTGGCCCCATCCTACCCCAAGGGGTCATAATTTGAACAAACTTGAATCTACACTACCTGAGGATCCTTCCACATGAGTTTCATTTTTCCTGGCCCAGTGGTTCTTGAGAAGAAGATTTTTAAAGATTTTCCCTATTTACTCCTATGTAAAACTTTGGTTGGCCGTTGTGGCCCCATCCTACCCCTGGGGGTCATGATTTGAACAAACTTGAATCTACACTACCTGAGGATGCTTCCCTATAAGTTTCATCTTTCCTGGCACATTGTTCTTTAGAAGAAGATTTTTAAAACATAGCATCAAATTTTCACTATTTCTGAATTATCTCCCCTTGAATAAGGGCATGGCCCTTCATTTGAACAAACTTGAATCCCCTTCACCCAAGGATACTTTGTGGCAAGTTTGGTTGAAATCGACCCAGTGGTTCTTGAGGAGAAGATGACAATGTGAAATGTTTACGACAACAACGACGACAACGACAACAACGACGACAGACGACGGACAAATTTTGATCAGAAAAGCTCACTTGAGCCTTCGGCTCAGGTGAGCTAAAAAGGAAATAAAGTCAGTTAAATTTATCAAATATTTTAATAATATTTGAAAGTTCGTTATAAAAGATGTAAAGAGGAAGAGCCATCTTATGCATAAAATGGCCCTGTGCTTATATCAATTAATTAACTATTACCCTCTTTCCATTTTCATACATCAAAATAAAGTAGACACTTGGTGCTTTCATGTTCTATAATGGAATTTCGTTTTGAGAATCCAAATATTTGAAAACAGGCTTTGAGAAATTGCAATGCTCTTGAAATTTGCAGAAAATAAGCGTACTTGACTACCTTCAGCAAAGAATTAAAATATGAGCACAGCCCATGATCCAAAAAATAAAACACGTTTTTTGATCTTCAGAAATAGGCCTTTTATTATGTATTGGCATATTTTGGATCAGAAGTTGTGCTCTATATGAAATATTGAAAAAACAATTCAACTTTAGGTCTTTTCAAAGGAATTTACAGGATATGAGGAAAATGACGCATTTGATGACGTCATAATGCATTGACTAGATGTGAAATTACGTCACAATTAATAGATATGTGGTCACCAACATTCCAAGTGATAAGTACTGCATTTGCAAACTTAACTGAGCGGTTTTGAATTTTCAGAAATTCTCAGGGCCAAATAAGGCCCAAAGTGGCTCTACCTCTTTCATTATATTTCACCTCTACGGGACTCAAAATCAGTTCGCTATATCCGTAAATTCGTTATATCAGAGTTAGTCATAACCGTAAAATTTTACAAAGATTTGTTAAGAATTTTGCCGGGGACCCAGAAAAACTTCGCTGTATCCGTGAATTTGCTATATCCGTGTTCGTACTAAACGAGTTTTACTGTACATGTATATCTAAAACTGATTCAATGATTGGGTGCACAAGTACTAAGTGAAGACTTCAAACATAAACCATTTTGATTTTCAGCTTAATGCCTGGCAATTCAATTTGTTTGAGCACAGTGTTCTAGTTGTTTATTTGCTTCATTTTGATCATTTTGACTGATGAAAGAATAAGAGCTTTTAAGTTCTTAATCTTTCATCAATCAAAATGAAGCAAATGAACAACTAGAACATTATCAATTACAAATTGCAAGCTCATTTCAAGGTCTGATCACAAGTTAACATATATTTTCCTCCTAAATTCACACATACCTTTCCAGATAATGAATCTTTTGAGCAAGAAAATTATTCAATCACAAAAGTCACATCACAAACATCCTTCTCCAATATATCTGCTACTGAATAATTTTTCTGAAATTATCTCTCTTTGTCCATGCATTAATTTTTGTCATTTCAAAATTCCCTTGGCTGTTTAAAAGTTTCAAGAATATAAATCTCTTGAAAGAAGATTTAGTTGATTTCTGTCATTAAAGAATGACTTATAGTGACCTATAATGACTCTTTTGCTGCACGTGGGTGAATTTAGTATGGGGCAAAATAAAAGAAAAGGTCATCTCTTTCACACAACTGTTAGAGCATTTACCATCTTAAAAATTGTTGTATATTTCATGTACATATATTAGCAATTTAAATATTAAAATTAGCAACATTCTTTGAATGCAGATTTTACTACTAAAAGAGAAATCAACTTAACAAAGAAATAACATTCCATCTAAATTATTTTACAGCAAGCTAATTCCATCAGAATTGATATACCTTGCTTGACAGCTGGAGATATGGTGAGATGGGAGGGTGTTGCCAAGGAACTTGTCCATGATGTCATAGAATCGTTAGCCGTGATCCCCAGACTTCTGATTAAAGCATCCTCCGAAGTTATGGTCTGGGATAAAGCCCCAACCTCCCAACCTTGTGGACTGAAATAAACAAACAACAGAGTCATTTTCCTACATCAAACTAATTTTGTTAAAAACAAGCACCAAACTTAATGCATAACCCTATTACTTCATGAGTTATAATTTACAGTGAAATCAATTGTGCAAACATATTCATGCACAGGATTTTCAATTCCCCCACAAGCCGATTTTGTTTCATACCTTAGACCAAGAGATGGTTGCAGCCAATCAGCCCTTGGACTGCTAGTAGTGGACTGAGAACTCAAAAGTCGCTCAAATGTGGAGACTTCCGGGGAAGATTCTAAAAATATTGAAAAAAACAAGAGGCCCATGGGCCATGATGGACACCTGAGTATCACAACTTTTTCTGGCCCCATCCAGAACTGGTAGCTATTTTGGGAAGACTTGACTAATGGTTATTCAATGCATGCCAAATAGTCCATTGTTTATTTAATACATGCTAAGTTGAAATATTAAGGGTCAACAATAAAAATTCATTTGTTTGATGTACTCCGACCTACCCGTCAAAAACACGCCACCCGATCATATTTATTCAGCACTTAAATTTTTTTTTCAGTTTCTATGATATATTATTTCTCTAGAATGCTTTTTGATTGAAATTTTTATGGCAATATAGATGAAATTTATTATTTCTTCTTTGGTTATCCAGTGTGGAATGAAAACATCAATAAATTTCTCAGTCTGTGATTTTCATAACAGATATCATTTTGTCTGATCTGTTTAGCAAAAAAAAACTACCTACTAGTAATGTCTACCTACCCACCTTGAAAAATATGGGATGGAGTACATCAAACAAAAATATTTTTAATGATGGTCTACAGTATGAAATGTACAGGCTTTTTTCCCTTGAATGTACACACTCAGCTAAGATAGCATCTAGGAGTAAATATAGCATTAATTTAATTTTTATGTTTTTTGTCACATCCTGTGAGTTTGTGGGAGATAGAAACAAGAAAAACTAGAACTGTCCAAACGGGACAAAATACCCCCCGCTGGGTTTTTCAGAAGTAAGTTTTTCCATAATAAAGATATGTATCACACATGAATTATGAAATTTTTCTTCCAGTGACCTTACACTCCCCCAAATGACCTTGGGCCAAGGTCATGATACACCCTTGGGGCATGGGCAATCTTTGAATGAAATGAGAACCTTCAAAGTTTATCTATAAAAAAGATGTGGACCGGACACGAATTATGAAATTTTTCTTCCAGTGACCTTGAACTTCCCCAAATGACCTTAGATCAAGGTCAGGACACACCCTTGGATCATGGGCAATCTTTGTGTGAAATGAGAACCTACCAAGTTTATCCATAAGAAAGATATGGACCAGACACGAATTATGAAATTTTTCTTCCAGTGACCTTGAAGTTCCCCAAATGACCTTGAGTCAAGGTCATGACACACCCTTAGGTCATGGGCAATCTTTGTGTGGAGTAGTAGATTCTAATGTTCCTCCGTAAGAAAGATATGGACTGGACATGTTTGCACAGACAGATGGACAGACGTACAGACGGACAAGGTGATTCCTATATACCCCCCCAAACTTTGTTTGCGGGGGGTATAATAACAAATTTCGTGTCCCTACACTCAAAAGTGCTATACACGAAAAATAGTAAAAACTGGTTAAATTATTCAAAAGAAGTTAAATATGTTCTATAAAGATGAACTCAAGATGGATGATGCACAATGGATGAAAACAGATGACAATGGGTCACCTAGTCACTATGGTGAGGTAAAATGAAGACATATGCAGTTATAAAGATACATAATATATATTTCATTCCTCAAGTGAAATCACAAGAGTCAAAATAGTCTGTTCAACAAGACAATTAAAGTTCTGCAATTACCAAATGTCCTTCCTCTGTGGAATTTGAGGATATCTGGTGTGAGTTGGGAGGAACACTGAGACAAGGGAGAAGTAAATAAATCCCTCTCCTCTTCTCTCTTTCTGCCTTCAAGTCTCTGTAATGTAGCATTCTGTAGCCAGTCTTCATGACTCGGACCCACAGCTGAAAAAGATCAATAATCATACACACAGCAATTATAGTCAGCTTAGTTAATTTTCATAAGAGAACCATACCAATTAGCAGATTTTTCTCTCTCTATTTTTGACAAGTGATGCAATCAAACATATTATTTCTAAATATATTTATCATTACTCATCTGACAGATGTGATATTATCTGAGAGAGAGAGAGCGAGGGAGATATTCTAAAATGATTATTTTCAACATTACATTCACTTTACTAGTACACCCCTCCAATACATCTGGTCTCACCTTTTGAATTAGGGTCTGTGTTATACCCTATTCATGGATTTGTAGAGTTTGCTGATTTCTTAGATTAAACACAATTCGATATCTTCACTTTTTTTCATTTTGTAAATCATTTGATGCATCACTCATGCAAATTTGGTCCAGGTATAGGCTTGTGTTACTTGGGAATGGACTTGCTACAAAAATTTTATCTGAGACACTAATGCTTACATCATGACATTAGCTCAACTCAACTTTGAGAAGGTGAACTAAATACTACTGCAGAGTGTGGACCAGTCTTTACAAATCACCAAATGTTCATAAATATACATCATTTCATTGATATAGCATAAGATAATTTCAGATTGTTTTTCCAATACTTTTCTTTCCTAAACAGGAAGTATCCAATACTTCCATAGTTTCCCATTTTCCATCATTCATTTTTATCCATCTGTTTAGCAAGATTAAAACATACCTTCTTCTAATCTTTCCTTTGATCTTGAGAAACATTTCTTGGTTCTTTTCCTAAGAGACAGTCTTAAAGTTTGATGATGTTCCCCACATTTCTGACATGGCAATTTTTTCTCACTTCCTTCTTCCATTTCATCTATTTCAAAATAAAATGAAAGAACTGTACTTTGCTGGTCCCCCCGATAGTGTCGTCAAAGGCGACATCAGTATATAGGAGATCACATGAGCGATTGAACAAAAATTTAAAATATGTCTTTTTTCCTTTTTGACCCTTAAATCAAATTCAACGGTTAAAAGTTTAGTTTAAAATTTTGTTTTTAAACCAGGGTTCGACACTAACATTTTTAGGCTATGGTCCGACCGGACTAGTGCTTCTTTACTTTTACTAGTCCGCGGTCAATTTTATGAGTCTGTCAAAAATAAAAATAAATAAATAGAGCTACGATCGTATTCCTGATCTCATTCATTTTTCTCTAGGCCTATACATGTACATAATTACATCATCTAAACATCTGACATTTTTCTTTATGTGTCATACTAAATCATAATTGCTAAAATGTTTAATTTCATACAAATGAGCAATTTCTACCCAGAGTTGTCGTTCGCTTCACTAAGTGGAACGATAACTCTGTGTAGAGATTGACCAATGAGTCCTAAAATTAAGCATCGAATTGACTCGGAATTACCTAACTTTCCGCCAAGAAGCTAGAAAGTGAAAGTTGTCAAAAATTTGAACATCAGTCAATTCTTTTTTTTTCCCCAAGAAAACTTTATTAGTCTGTTTGGACTAATTAGCTACAATTTTTATTAATCCGACTGAAAATGTATTAGTCTGAGACTAATGGACTAACGTTAATGTCCAACCCTGTAAACTAAGTTTTTTATCTCATTTTCTGAAAAAATGAACAGACATTGTTTATTCATTGAAAAAATTGACAAAAAATAATTGTCAGTGAAGGGCATGTGGCACATGCTTAATGTCCTTTCTTTTGGACTTAGCCATTCTTTCATGTAAACAAACCAACAAAGATGTCATTGAAGATGAATTATAATCTTGCAAAAATTAGAGAAGCAACTGATTTTCTTAATTTATCCAAAAGAACAAGTCACAAACCCTAATCTCTCGGATGTTATACAAGGACTAAGATGTTTAGACGAAATCTCCTGAGCAGATACTAGTCCAACCCTAATCAGTCAAATAATGTGCATGGACTAACCCTAACCTCTCAAAAGGATGCAAGACTAACCCTAATCAGTTGAATACTTGTGCAAGGACTAACCCTATAATCTCTCAGGTAAGTGCAAGACTAACACTAATCAGTTGAATAGTGTGTAAAACTAACCCTTATCATTAACATTATTTATATCACTTAAAACAATGTTCAAGTTTATTACCATGTAGGGATGTGCGATTTTATCGGTATACCGGTATATTGCAATTTTTGGTTGCATGATACGTATCGTGATACGGAGACCTAAATACCGGTATTTAGGTACATATTATAAAGTCCTGATATTATTCATTTATTTGTTCAAACTTTCAAATTACAATAACAGAAAGTTAAAAATTGTAGTAAAAGGTGAAAAGAACGGCATCTTACCATCCAAACATAATTAATTATATGTACATAATGATTTCAAATAAGTGAAATTTTGTTTTTCTAGCATATTTTAAGAAAAATAATGAATTTTCATTTGAAATCATTGTAAATCATTGTAAATATTGTTTGTAAAAATATCCTGATATTCTAGGAAAAAATTGTGATATATCACGATACAAAAATTACGGCAATACCCATCCCTATTACCATGTGTAGCAAACAAGAAATAAATTAAAATATAATTTAAAGAGAAGCGTGAGGTGTTTTCCTCTTATGGTGACATAGTTTGGGTAGTCGTGGATTGCCCAGTAGTGGATATGTATTAACTTCAGTTGAGTGACATAGCGAACAAGGTACAGTTTCCTTACAAATTAAGCCCTGTATTTTTCAAAAATATGAAAGTGAAATAAGAAATTAAAATTCATTCTTTCTGGAATACGCAAATCGTTTCTCTCATATGACCTCCTAAATGCTAATTGCGACATCATTAACTTGTGTATTTCCTTTTTTTTTCTTAAAAAGTTGCAGAAGACATCAATTTTCAGTAGAAACTAGAATTTTCTTTCAGAAAATCTATTCTGCAACCATCGCCCACAAAGATTTTGAGATATGTGATTTTTCAAAGCATTTTACATAATATATCCAACCAGAAGTCTCTGTCGAGACTGTAGCTCTACTGGTTTATACTTAAAACAAAGGAAGAGAAAAGTAGCAGTTGTGACTTGAGACTTCAAAACAGGAATCAATAGAAAAATGATCCTTGACACTCAACAAAATAAAAACTGATGCACAGAATTATGTATCTTAGTGTAGTCTACTTGTGTGCCAAGTTATATCAAAATCGGACCAAAACTAAAGGAGAAGTAGCATTTGAAAGAATTTCACAGAAATTTCTATTTTTAGCAACCATGGCAACACTGTTCATCAAAATCAAAAACCGATGCACAGAATTATGTATCTTAGTGTAGTCTACTTGTGTGCCAAGTTATATTGAAATCAGAACAAAACTGGTGGACGAGTAGTATTTAAAATAAAATTTCACAGAAATTTCTATTTTTAGTAACCATGGCAACACTGTTCATCGAAATCAAAAACCGTTGCACAGAATTATGTATCTTAGTGTAGTCTACTTGTGTGCCAAGTTATATTGAAATCGGACCAGAACTGTAAGAGGAGTAGCATTTTGAAAGAAGTTCACAGAAATTTCTATTTTTAGTAACCATGACAACACCATACATCGAAATCAAAAACCGATGCACAGAATTATGTATCTTAGTGTAAAAGATAACTGGAATTTCATTCTCCTTGTACATATCACTTTCGAATATCGATGTATTAATATGTCGTTAACTAATATTGCGAGATTCGCTACACAATTTTATATACACATCTATGTATATCGTATATAGGAGTTGAGTTGTTTTATATCCAAATACTAACAGACAAGTAGCTGCATTTGTCATTAATACGTGCACATCATTTGACTTCTATCTGCATACTGAGTGATTGCACGTATTGTATAGATAAATATTAGTGAATTAGTGGATTACTTTTGTGTTCAAACTAAATGTATGCGACTATTAAAATGCGATTTTGAAACACATGTCAGCTGAAAATGAATAAAAATTGAGTTAAATGAGGAAAATAAAAGGCTAGAATACGAGAACACTTTCTTGGTAGAAACTTTTTAATAACATATACATTGGGAAATAATCTAGAATTCTAAGCATTACTGATTTAGAATAAAAAAGAGTTTCTGAAATATTGTTGGCTGTTTAAAATTTAATTTGGGCTTTTCTGAAGTGTTTTCCTGTATGTATTTTATAGTATTATCAATTTTACGAGGGGTGATCAAAAAGTTCGCAAACTATCTCTATATCTACAAAACCACAATTAGATTAGAATGAAATACGGTACACACATAGCCATACACAAGGTCTATAAATAGCATATGCTGAATAAAGTTTCTCTCCTTGTTTGTGACGTCACAATGTGAAAATGACGTGACTATTTAGGTCACTTGTGACGAAAAATGGTTGTCTCGTCGTACTCGTTCAACAAACGACTGTACAATTTATTGTAATATCTTAGAAATCCCTCTACAGTATCATATAATAATTTGTACACAGTTTATTGAGATAAATGAGTTCCTATAAATTCAATTAATGATTGGATTAATCGTTTTAGTGAAGGAAGGCTGATGGTTAAAAATGATATTTGTCATCTTGCCCAGTGAAAGCAAGTTTGAAAAGATATGTATTTTTAATTAAGCATTTTGCTATCAAAGACCTCCAATTAGCACTTTGAAAAATAGTTGAATATTTGAACAATGATATAAGTATTAAATACCTAAGATATCGTTTACTTTAGATTTTAAACATATTAGATATGATAAAAAGGATGCACCCATTCTCTATCCACCTTGAATAAAGGTCTCTCCTGAGACAGAAGATTTGCGTTTTAATGGTCGCCATGCTTATTTTTGGAAAGGATGTTATTATCCACCCATTCTGTTGCCGAGATATGACCATTTCTGACAAATTAACTGTTCTTGTCATAAAAATTAACTCACATGGAAAGAAATATAAAACTCGGAAAAATCTTTTAACTTTTGTGACAGAACGCTACGGAGGGGGTCACGTGACCGCCAATATCACGTGATTCGCGCATGCGCAGAACGGTGGTTGATGTGCATTAAAATCGGGGAGGATTAATTTAAAATACAAGTTGCTGTCCTTTAAAAAAGGACTGCAATACGTGGACCATATGCATGTTTTTCTAACCGAAATTCAATTAAGAAAATTCTAGGTGTAGTGAATATTCATGTAGGTTTGTTAACATTTTCTACAATGATCTGCTTCCTTATGAGTGATTGTAGTCTCAAAGCAAAATTGTTAAATTTTATCTGCGATTAGAGTCGTACGTTTAGTTTTGTCAGTTTCAAAGATCGGGCTATTTTGATACATGTAACCCATAATGAGCATGACACCTGTTCTGAAATCTATCAGGGGAAAATAGAGATCTGTTGGTTCACGTGTATCACAGCTCTTTAGCACGCAGATTTTTGTCGGATTCCCCCCCCCCCCCCCCCCCACACACACACACACATACACAGTAAAAGCCGTTGCTATAGACCTCTATCAAACGGTATTTGGATTGCTGGAATAAAAAATTATGTTGCGAGCCTTGATGCAAAAAACTAATGGCAGTGAAAACATGTTCTATCTTTTAAAAGCTAGAACTAGTTGTTGAATGACGTTTTTCATTCAAGTTGTTAAGTTACTTGTATCTATGCAAGTTCTTCCTACTTTTTAAAATGCTTAAAAAATAGAATCAAAGTTTAGTTTGTACCATAGAATCAAAGTTTAGGTTGTTTATAAAAGTATATGTATAAGAGGGAAATTCGGATCCGCCAATGAATATGTAAATGTGATACGCGGATTTAAAATTAAAGCGCGATGTGCTAATGAATGGCATATTCTTTATTCGAATAGGGCGTAGAATTATTCTACGGGCAAATTACCTAAGGT